GCACAGAGAAGAGCAACAAAGATGATTAGAGGGCTGAATCTAAAACATATGATGAACAATTGTAGGGATGGGATATGTCTAGCCAAATGAACAGAAGGACTAGGGTTGACATGATAACAATCTTCCAATATTTGAGCGGTGTCACAAAGAAGAGGAGGACAACCTATTCTCCAAACTACCTGAGGGGAAGACAAGAAGTAACTGCTGGAAGCTTAACAAAGAGAGAACTAACCTAGAATTAAGGAGAAATTACCTGTCATTGAGAACAATTATTCAATGGAATGGTTTGCCTCCAGAAGTTGTAGCTGCACCATCACTGGAGGATTTTGACAGTCATTTATCTGGAATAGTATATGGTTGGGTCTCCTGTTTCAGCAGGGGGTTGGACTAGAAGACCTCCAAGGTCCCTTCCAACTCTATTATTCTATTATTACCAAGAAAGCTTATCGTCATCCTATACTATTTTTTTCCTTTTCTTTATTCTCTATGAGAAGTTCAGCATTATTGGTTTGTTTGGCCATAAGAAAATTTTAGAAGGAGAGGGGTGAGACTTTGTCTCCTTCATCAATCACTCTAAGATGGCCCATACTGCTCATTATAGAGTAACAAAATGACTTCTATTGCCTGGCTGAAAAATGTTGTGGTGAGCAAATTATCTTTAGGAAGGTGGTAGACCGTTATTAACTATGATAGATGATTTTGCATATCTCACTAAAGCAGTAACCTTGTCTCATTAGTACAGCTACCAATATCCACCATTTTACAGCATAAACAAAGAAAATGGTTTATTTGCATTGTCATTTAACATATGGTAGTAGGAACAGTTAACAGAACAAAGGAGAGAAATGCCTGGCTGAAGTTTTAGAAATATTGTGACTTGAGTGAGAAGTGAATTAAGGAAGGCCAAATGCCAGAGGGAACAGATACGATAGGTTCTTTTGGAAATCTGTCATTGGAGCGTTCCACTAGGATACAATAATGCTGTATTTCCCACTGTACTGTGTGGTCTACGTTGAGTTTTGGAATTGCCGTCACATAATTATGACTTTTATCACTGAACAGAGTAAACAGATGCTATACAAATAAAAAATGTTCAATTTCAAATGAAACAGGGATGAAATAGAACCCCGTTCTCTTTCATTCTTAATGTATTACAAAACAAATGTACACATATGGAGAAAATAGGCTAGCTACTTCAAAGGATGAAAAAAAGAAAAGGACTGTCATTGTAGGAATAGGGATGGCAAAGGAAGACACCAAGAAAGAGAAACCTTGGGTTAATTACTTGTTCAAGACAAAATGATACAATAGCAGGTTTGTGTTGTGCGGGGTGCATAGCTAATTGGAGTGCTGTAGGCGTGTTACCTAGCAACTTAACAGAGTGAAGGAAGATTGTACTGAATTTCCTGTGCAAAATATACTCAGCTCAATGTCACGGGCTACATGATGAGGTAACTCAGTGTCACACAATGTCTAAAATGTTGGACTGAGCAACCCAGGTTTCCAGTGTACTCTCAGCCACAGAAACTCACTTGGCAACTTTGGGGTTCTTACTCTTGCTCAGCCCACACTACCTCATAGGGTTGTTGTTGTAGGGAAGGAGTCTTCAAACTTGGCCCTTTTATGACTTGTGGACTTCAAATCCCAGAATTCCTCAGCCAGGCATGCTGGCTGAGGAATTCTGGAAGTTGAAGTCCACAAGTCATAAAAGGGCCAAGTTTGAAGACCCCTGTTGTAGGGGAAACAAAATGGAAGAATTATATTGTAAGCCTCCTTGAGTTCCTGATGTAAAAGAGGGATATACAGATTGCTAAAAATAGGATGTTTAATCCATAAATGATGAATCTTAGCACTGAAATCTATCCTGAGATTTTGGAAAAGTGGTTTGTGACCAGGTAGGAAACCTTTTGATAGCCATAGGTTGCAGTGGGTAGGAAATGATCAAAATAGACAAATCAATGGGATACTCAGAGATGAGGACAGGATTTTTCTGTCTTTTCCAGAGTGTTGGGGGGGGTGTCTTACCTTAAAAAAACATGTTAGGTAAATTGTAGGGTCTATGATATATTTATTAATTTTTTTCAAAATTTGAGTGTCATCACTGGCCCTTAAATTGCCCCAATCCCCTTTCAGGTATTCTCCCCACCCAGAGTGAGGTTTTTAGCATAGCCCAGACCAAGCTTCCTCTCCTTTTCCTGGATTTGGTAGGTATGATAGAGATAAGGGCCAGAGTTAATGGAGTTCATCTCCCTAAGCAGTGGTTGTGATGAACCACTTTCATCATTTGTCGTTGGTTTTTCACATACCTGTGCACAATGATGGAAGAAGAATGAAATTTTCACATTGGGGGAATGGATTGTGAAAATGTCAGAATTTCCAGAAATAGCAAAACTGACCTGTTCAAATAACAAAAAACTTTTTAGAAAGACTGGAAGCCTTATGTCATGGATGGCCAACATTTTGGCTTGTCTAGGCTGCATTGATTGAAGAGAGATTGTCTTGGGCTGCATATAAAATATATAATATAGTTAATGCATATAAATCACATAATGATATTAAAAGTTTACAATCTTATGGGGCCACATTATTAACTGTCCAGGGCTACATATGGCTTGTAGACAGCAGGTTCGACACATTTGCTTTATATGGACTTTTTGCTGAAAGAAAGCAATGAATTGATGATTTATGGATTTGAAGACTAAGAAAGATGAAGATTAATGCAGTAGTGAAGGACTTGTAAAATACTCAAGGTGGAAGAGGAACAGTAACAACATAATTATCTGTTGAAAAGAAGATCAGAAGTCTTCTACATGTTTCTTAACTTTGGCTTTCTTTCTCTTCTTCTGTTTGGTTTGTTATTATTATATGAAAATTATATATTATATGAATTAGCTTCTCAATATCTTTGATAGGTGAATAACATCACAAAAAGCAGACATGGCAAGCTGTGTGCTTTATCTTCCAAATTCTTTAAACTGGTAGCATTACAATTCAAACCCAGAAGGAAACTGATACAAGATATATTTATTCCCCTTAAAGAAAGGGTCAAGATCTGCATAAGAGAGATCAGTCTCCTTGTTAGCTCTGCGACTCTGTCGATATTTCGTCCTGTGGTAGATCACATTTCACTCACTTGCTCATGATGGGATGGCTCCATAATCTCTCTTGAAGTTCCATGTATTGTTTTGCGTATCTGGTTTAATCCCGACTGCAACAAAGTGTACTTTACTTGGAGAACACAAGAAAATCATTAATAGCTACTTGAGAGATAGAGCTCATTAAAACCATATAGGCACCAATGGGGGAAATTATGTTTTTGCTGGTTATCTTATTTAGGGAACAAAATTAACTTATCTTATTTTTTAATGCATGTTCATGTGTTCATTTCCATTAAGAAATCTTATTAACATTTCTTTCCCAAGAATAAATTTTAAGGAACCTGCATTGTTCACATAGGAAATTATGTTCAAATTATTACTGGGGTTCTTTTTCCCCATGCCCCATTTATAATTAATATCACTGATATCAATTATACTTTTAACCACCAAAATAGCCTATTAAGGAGCAAAACAAACTTGGAAAGTTAACTTATAATCTAGAGAAAAGATCAATATTGGTAAGCAGTAAAAGGGAGAGAGTTCTGTTTACATGTATAAAACCTCAATTTTCGCGTTAGTTGTTACAGGACCAAAAATAATGAGGGAATAGCGAGTAGAGTAGAAAAAAAATAGCTTGGGCAAAATATCTATTGGAAATGAATCAATAATCCAAGATTATTTAGCAGACACTATCCAAGATTGTTTAGAAGAAAATAACAGTCTTCCAGCAGAATAGAAAGGAATTAAAAGAAAAAGCAGAGGTAGAAAAGAACAACTTTTGATTGATAAAATAGGATTGGAAGATTACAAAAACCAATAAAATGATTTACATATGGTCTGGATTGATTATAAAAAGGTGTTTGATTCATTTTCATATAATTGGATCATCAAACATTTGAAAACAATTGGGCTCAGAAAAAACATCAGAATGTTTATAGAAAAAATAAGAAGCTAGAATTGGTGGTTGGAAATGAAAACTATGAGCTTGTTAACATTAGAAGAGGGATCTTCCAGGGTGACTCATTATCACTCTTATTATTTGTCATTGTTATGATCCAATTTTCAGTAATATTGAAGGAAATCTTGGCTCTTAAATAGTAAAATAAATACTAATAAATTCTCACATTGCTTTATATAAATGATCTGAAGTTTTATGGAAAATCAGAAGTTGAAATCCAGTCATTGACAAATACGATAAGAATTTGGTTCATAACACACCAAATTTAATTGTGGTTGAAAAGAAAGTGTGGATAACTGATATGATAATGCCATGGGATAATAGAAGACAAAGAATCAGAGAAGATCCCAAAATATCACGATCTGAAAATCAAAGATGAAAGATAATGGCATAAGTCAATTGTAGTGGTCCCAATAGTTATTCGCTCACTGGATGTCACTTGGATGGCACTTAGAAAATCTGTGCATTGTCAAAAATTTCCATCTATCAATTACAAAAGGTCATATTGCTGGGATCCTCACATATGTTACATTGATACATTATGACATCCTAAGCTCTTGGGAAACACACCGTGGTGGGATTAAAATATGTGAACAACCAGTTCTCTGTGTGGATGCCGCTTCCAGAAGTCCATTCTGGGCCTGGGCAACAAAAAATTAGCTACCAGTTCTGCCAAAGTGGTGCGAACCGGCTGAATCCCACACTGGAAGCACTTGATGAGTATGAAAGCTAACACAAGCTAAAGAACTGGCAGATGTGATTTCACACAGATGTGCATATAAAAATAGTGCAAAAAAAGCAACACCAAATGTTTTAGCTATGAATATTCAATTTAGGAATTTGAAACAATAGATTATAAAAAAATCATTTAAATTCTGAAACTAAAAACATTTAAAAATGCAGTGAAGCAATAATATTTAATTTAAAAATTGAGAAACATGAGGTTGAAAACATTTCCCTTTTATTGAAAAGACTTGATATTTTCTCACTTACAGACTATCAGTAAGTAATTTGACAGAAAACAAACAACACATTTCTTTCAAATTCTCTTTGGAAATATCTTGCTATAGGGCTTCAAATTTGCATATCAATTCAGCTATTCAACAATTATTCTTTCCATGTTTAGAAGTATCACATAAATAATTACAATCTGTAGTCAATGCAGTGTCTTCATAACAAACATTTTCTATATAGGATGTCACTTGGAGATGGAAAATGAAATAATTTTTGAAAGGAAAGCATTTGTAGTGCTGATAAAGTTTGTACAAAGTCAAAATGCAAATGAAGACATAAAGATATAAATAAAAAATTAAAATATTCTTGTCCTTGGCATTCTTTTTTGTTGCTTTAATAAGTGCCAACATTTTAACATATAGCAGTCATTAAACATAATTGTGAAATAAAAGAATATGTCTTGATAATTTAAATAACTTCCTATTGTATAACCACTTCCTGATAAGTTAGGGCAAGACATCACTGGATAAAGTTCCAACTATTTCTTAATTTCAATAACCCTATAGGTTAAAAGTCTATAGGACTGAAGCCTAAATTACATTCTAAACAATATATTTTTCAGATCAGTGCTTTTCCTACAGGAAATCATAAAACCCTTTTTGTGCAGCTCTATCAATTTGGGAGAAATTCACAACCAATCATGACATCCACAGTCTATACAACTTTTTGCTCTTCTCCTTTTCATTTTATAAAGTTGTCAGTATGGTGTGATACATATTTTTGTATAAAGCTATAAATCCAAACTACCTACACTCATGGAGTGGCACAGAAGTAGACTATCATTTTGGCATGCTGAACATTGTTACAAATGGCTGCTATACAGACTTCTCTATTAAACAAATGCTTGTCATAGTCAGTACAGCCAGTCATAAAATGCATCTTATTTGTGATCATCTCTAGTTTGCCTCTCCCTCCCTCTCTCTCTCTCTCCCCTCCCCCTTCATTCTCTCTATTTTTTTCTGGAAAGGTGAGTGTATTTCCAAACAGGGTGTTAGGCTGAAGCTACCTAGCATTTTTTATTTTCTAAGACTATCTACTGGATCCATATGTTGATACTTGGTTCTTGTAACATGTCAATATTTTCTTCATTATCCTTTTTTAAATTAAAGGTCCTATTTAAAAAAAATGCTATCTGCAGCCTAGAATCGAGAAGGTGCAAAGGAAGAGTCCATGCGCAAAATATTGTTTACTCTGCTATAGATTATAACAAAGATTATTCTTTGCTTTCTTGACGTTTATAGATAGGCCTATATCGAGACACTATACCAAAGATTAGAGGGAATGAGAGAGATGGGTTCTTCTATGGTCAACTGAGTCATACCCTTACCCTTCCTTGGTGTGGTTAAGGAATGAGAGTTTGGAACTCATGACTGTGGATTGAGAATAGGGGAGAACATTGATCAGAAATGTGTAGAAAATGTGCAGGTCTCTCAGTCTTATTGGCCAAATACAGTATATATCTCACAATTGTAAGAAAACTGGGGAAAGTGTTAAGTCTGACCAGTGCTCTATTTATATGCAGGTAACTTTTCCTCATTGGAAGAAACCCATCACCTTATTCTCTAAATATAACCAATGCTGCACTGTGTTCTTAAATATAAATCTATTTTTGGTCATTGTAAAACACCACTGACTATTTTACAGCTAAGACGTCTCTAAAGTACTTTCTCCAGTTTGTAGAAAACAATCTGTGTTAGCTTCTCTGTTTTCTTGGCTTTACCTCTCAAAATGGAAGGTTAAACATTTTTCTTTGTTTACTATGTTTCTTCTTCCCATCTGTATTGCACTCATTGCTCTGAAACACCTTTTTAAAAATTTCCTCAGCATTCCTTCTACTAATTAATTCACAATGGTGGCATATCTCTTTATTTTGCCATTCTTGTGTTTACCTTTTCCTTTTGCACCATTAAAATATTTCATTCCCTTCTTGTTTAAAACAAGACCCTGCCTGTGATATTTCTAATCATTCCCAGGCCTTTTTGATCTTACTTTCATAATTCACCTCTACTGACTTTGCATACACATTGATCTATCTGGATGTTTTTTAAAAAAACAATTTTATACAAAGCATTACGTCTTTCTTTGCTTTGAGATAGCCTTATTTTCAGTGTTTATAACTTGGTATATTATTTTGACAAACTACTCTTAGAGATATTGTCCTTGTTATCGTCAGAACTAAGCAATACAAGAATCATTTAGTCAGTGTGCTTCCCCCCCTCACCCTTTACTCTATGCATGATAAAAAAAAAAAAGAGATGTCATGGCCACATCTAGTGCTATCAGTTCAAACTCCCAGTTCTCTGAATATATCCACAAAATGGAAAGGAAATATACTAGTCCAGGAGTTGATATAATTTCCATTCCCAATAAAAAAGGCAAATAAATTAAGGGAGTGAAAAACAGAATCAACAAAAACAGAGACAAAAATATAAGTCCCTCTCTCTTTTCCATTGTCCTTATCAATAAGATATAGGAAGTGTCTCTACTATCTATTCTTTATACTGTGTTGCTATAGGGTTATTTGGTCTGCTATATCATGAAATGTTGTATTTCTCATCCCAATCTGCTGATAGAAATACATGCACAACAGCACAATGGGGGCTCTGGTTTTGTGATGAAGACTTTGTCTATTAACATCAAACTTTTATTTGGATGCCAAGTAAACAAACTTTCTCGGTCATGAGAAATCTTCTCATTATCAGGGACTAGAACATGAAAAGAATTTTAGCTTAGGATTTTAAGTGAATTTGTGGCCACATAGAAAGACCACAGTGATTACTGCTTGATTCTTGGTATTAATTAAAATACCAAGTTAAATAACAATATCATGAATCATTGCCCTGTCAAATAATCAAACTGAGCTGTACCTACCATGCTACCCTTTGGTCATTTTGTTTTGCCAATCAACAGTTAAAATATGGATAAAAAAATGTAATTCAAATAATAGCAGAATTTTTTGATTAATCTGGTGTATGGATGGATGCAATAAGAAACTTGTGTTTTAAACAAATGATTAATGTTTCTGGAATCATTGACCATTATGTGAGATTTTATATTTTGAATTATTTTGAGTCAGCTGGATATTCAAAGGGAAATGTCTTCTCAAATATGCCGTTGCACTTGAACCAGTTATAGGGAATTGGGATATACTTCAATAAATCTCAGTTAAACAGCTTTTAATAATCTAAATACCTACAATTGGCAATATTTTAATAAAACTCTAAAGAAACCTTGCATGATTTGACTAAAATCACCTATTTAAATCAGCAGGTCTTTGGAAAGCCACTAAAACTACGCTACAAATAGCAAAATAAATGAATTATAAGAAAAGTGAACCTTAAGGTGTCTGTTTTGGGAAGATCAGAGGTAGATATGAACCATCTAAAAGAGGCAGATCTCAAAGTTACGTTCTGAAACTTCTACACTTCTGCACTCATTGTGGATCATAATTCTTGATATGGTTGAGTTGGTGACATTAATGCTATGCCAACTCTACAACTCTACCATACAATCAAGCACAGTTAAATGTTTTCATGTCACTTATGAGGTATCATCATTTATAAAAAGTTTGGGTGTTTTCACCAATCATGATGCAATATTAACAAGGTCAATCATCTTTGAATCAGTGCATATACTTTGTGACATATCAAAAACATATTTCATAAAGACTATAGACTAGTCTTTAATTCTCTGCTCTGTTGACGCACCTCTTCATTTTGCTTATCCATTGACAAGTTATATCAGAGGAAGCAGCAGGATAAGCCTGTACTTCCAAAGTACATTCTTTAACCAAAATTTATTTTAACCAAAATGATCCTAAATCACTTGTCTGTTATTTAGCCTTCAGGCTAATACAGAATGAACCTTACCATTTCCACAGATGGTAGTAATCAAGTATCCCATTTATCTGTATTTGCTTTTCTCCCAATAAATTACTTTCACAATGGGAGAACTATATTAGATCAGTTGAAAATACAGTAATGGAAATTGTCTAGGTGGCATTAAATTCCAGTCCTATTTTAATATGACCAAGATATGAAAAGATAAAACATGAAAAGAGAAAGACAGAGAGGGAAAACCAAACATTGTCACGAATTGCTTCAACCTCTTTAGGCACAGTTACCTAAATCCTGTACCCTCTCTTCAAAATAAATATCAGCATTTCAACAATAATCTCTCTTTAGAAACTTATGAAATTGATTCAGGTTAAAGACTTCAGATGTAATTTTTCTGTAAAGAGTTGTCTTTACAAAATTTGTGTAAAAACAATACATAATTTGTTCAGTTTGACATTGCAAACAAATATAAAATTATATACACAAAATACATTTAATAGAAATTAGGAACAACTACTTACAAAGATACAGTAGTATTTACAAAGCAAAACCTATTTTAATAGGCAGCAAGAATAACATCTTTAGACATTTTCATTGGGAGCATTATATTTTTCCTTTTGATGTTGAGATACCAGCCCATTATTTCAAATAGGAAGTAAAGAGAAATTGATAGTTGATATTCTCAATTCAAATATCTCTCTAATATACAAATAGCAAACATTTTATTGCTTGCTTTTACAAGAACAAATCATAGGTAGAACATATGTTTAATTATTATAGTTTGATTACTTAAAAGTTTAGCATGGACTGACTCGTGATTTCATTTAGCACTATTGTGGACCACAAACTATACTGCAAATGACTAATTCCGTTTCAACATTTTCCAAAACTGATACCATGGAAAATGTTTTCCATACTAGCTAGGTATAAAACAGAAACTAGAAACAGATCTTGGCAGAACATGTGAGCGTACATACATATATACCTATGCCTATACCTGCACACAGAACTTACTGTCAAGTACTTTTTCAGCACCATGCTTTCATTCAGGGAAGTAGTATGGATACTCTTCATCACATAATGCCATCAAATTGTCTCTGGTGCTCTAACAACAGAGAAACAACTTTTACAGGTGCTTGTGATCAGTCAGATCATACTTCCATTGTCACAGGTGCCACGTGGACTTCCAGATGATCCCCTGAAGTGGGTTGCAAAGTGCAAAACTGTTGCAATGTCACAGGTTGCTGGATATTATTGTTTCCGTGCCTTCAATTTGGGATCAGAAGGTTTTTCTGGAGTTGCAGAATATCGAGGTGTGTCACCATTAAGTCCATTTACAAAGACACATTGATAGTAGCGACCAGCAGCTGAAAAGAGGGAAATAAAAAGAATGATCGGAGTGTACAGTATAGCTGTAAAGTTAAACTAAGGAAACATCTAATCTAGCAAAGCATAAATCAACTTTCCCTAGCCTGTTGTCAAAATATGTGGCCATCAAGCCAACTCCTTGATAACTAAAAATTCCAGGAATTGAAGTCAAACATATCCAGAGATTGATATAGCTTATCACTGTCCAAAATTACTTTCTTCCCTGGCTAGGCTTGGCATCAAAAGTTTTAATAGTTAAATAAATGGCAAGCAATATTTTATCCCACATTTGTTTTTTGACAAATTGAAAAAGACTTTTTTTTATCTTTCAAACCAAATGATTGAATGGCAAACATTATTCCCATGTTATTGGCTGACACAAAATACTGTGAGCAGAAATGTCAGTGACATTTCTCTTTCTTCATTGCAGTTATTTCAGAATATACCCTTGTGTGGGGAGAAGAATTACAAATAGGCTTCCGGATATTAGTAAATAGAAAATTAGAAGTGTTTTAGTCAAATACACAATGGAAATGCAATATATATGGACCCAAGGTAGAGTTTAGGCCCATTTGTATTCATTATCATATGACTTTCCTATACAAGCTGTCTGAAATAATTGGATGGAGCTTTGGAGCTTTAAATGTGTTTTCTCTCTCAAACAGTGCTGGGCAATCTATGGCCTCTGGGCTCCATGTGGACCCTGATATCCCAGTTGCAACTTCTAAAGAATCTGAGCATACGTTGCAGAAATTAAAGGATTCCAAGATCCCATTAATGAAATTTGATGGCATAATTGGAAATACTAGTTTTGATTCACAACACCAAAAGTGAAAGAGAGAGAGAGAGAGACAGAGAGAAACAGAGAGACAGAGAGACAAAGAGAGACATATAGAGAGAGACAGAGGCACACATACACACACACACACACACACAGAGAGAGAGAGAGAGAGAGAGAGAGAGAGGATTTTTATTTTGACTTTTACAAATATGGAATGGCAAAAAAGAAAAAAAATAAATTCAGTCAAGCCATCTAATGCGGTTGTGTCACCAGCTATCACTGTGCCCATGCCTCATAAAACAACAACAGCAAATAACAATAACAATGTTTTGTCAGACTGGGAGAAATTATTAGCCTTTGCTCAATATAGTATGAATTGCAATGATACAAAGTAGAATGTTCTGTGATGGCTGCCTAGTTCCATGTCTTCTCTGCATGTGGCAATGATCCACCCTGTCAGCCTCTATGGAAATTCCCTCTAACCTGATTTCCCTGGTTTATTTATTTTACTTATTTCTGAAATTTATTTGCTGCCCATCTTGCTCTGGGGTTACTCTGGGCAGCTTACAATAGTAAAAATGGGGGGAGGGGGAGATAAAAAATGTAAACATAATAATAGTAAAGCAACGAAACAATAAAAATAAATTATGAAAGTACAACAACGTGAATTAAAAGATGGGGGAGGAGAGGCAGGAAGCACAGGGGGGAGGTGGGGTCAACTAATTAGTTCAGTAGCCATCTCCAATATGGTACTCCCCCACTGGGTCCTCAGACCAACTGGCAAAGCCAGGTCTTCATTATTTCTTATATAATTTGCACGGGGAGACATACTCAAATGTATGTGCATGTCTGTGTACATCTGCAGACATGATGACCCCGTACAACAGAGCTTCAGTTATGGGGATTAATAAGCAGGTATATTTTTGTTCAGTTTTCCATACAAGACAAAATGAAACTCAGAAAGAGTGTGGTAAGAGTTGCTCAAATGCAAATCTTATTAATGCAGCTCTGAGTCTTTATTAAAGCAATTAAATGCTTTCCCTCTAAAAGGGACTCTTTTTTCCTGGTGCACATTTTTGATGCTCCTCATCATATTTAATGTATCAAATAGCTTGCAGCTGCCTAAGAAAGACTGTTAAATTCAAAGCCCTGAATCTTGACCTGAATATAAAATTTAGCTAATTAGAGATATCTTGGTGCAATTCCATCTTGAGCCAAATATGCAATGAGTTATGCTTGTGGGTCAGGAGCAGGTCACTCAGCAGACATCTTTCATTAAAGCAAAGTATTTTGGCACCAAAGGCAAAGCAGATGGAGAGTTCATTAACACACTTTGTCACAAAACAACATCATAGTTCACTTTGATGATCCACTGAGAACTGGATCATTTTAGGGTTTTGTTTTTTTTTTTTAAATCAGAAATAACCAGGCACTATGTGGCACTGTAAAGAGTAACAAATATCTGATGTTGTGCTTGTTATAAGCCTTTGGCAACTTATAGTGTCATTTGTAAATCAATCTTAATGTTCATTTGGACTGCAAGAGACTAAATAGCTAGCCCTCTAGAAACTACTTTTTCTTAAATTGTTTCCTCAAAGTGTTTGCTCTAGAAAAACAGGAAAGGAAAGCAAAAAAAAAGAAAAAGAACCCCACCCTCAATTTACATCCTATGTCCAATCTATGATGAAGTTATCTAGCTAGGCCAAAGGGACATTATCTTCATGACAGGGGTCCCCAACCCCCGGTCCGTGGACCGGCATTGGGCCACAGCATGCCAGAAAATGGTCCGCGCAAACAAGCAAAGCCCCATCTGCGGGATGCCGGCAGTACATGAAACCATGCCCCTTCCAGTCCACGGAAAAACCTTTCTCCACAGAACCGGTCCCTGGGGTCCAAAAGGTTGGGGACCTCTTTTATGACATTTTTTTATTCCTTCAATCTTTACATGGTTTGCAGTATGGTGGAGATCACTTAAAAGAAAGAAGTGGTTTTTCGAAGAATGAAGTCTAAAGGGATTGGCAGCCTTCAGTGAAGAAGAGAAGGAGGAAGAGCTTCATTAATGTCATAGGCAGCCAGAGAGAGAAAAGGAAGCCTGTTCTGAGATGGATAGACCAAGGGTACAAGTGTCCAAAATAACAGATAGAAGTAAAATATGCTACATGTTTAGTGCCCTAATAATGCTCAAATCCCTTTGATCCATTCAAATCCATGCTAGGATTTCCTTAAAAACCCCAAAAGAAGATACTCACTACAATCCCACCACCGAAGTTTGCATGAAGTTTGAAAAATATATGTCCATAATAGATTTGTCATTAAAAGAAATAATATTGTGGCAATGAATTTCTCCATAAGCAGTACTCCATATGATATAGTGGTATAAATTTGCATGTGTGTCTTAACCAAGTTACTATTTATGCTATTATCTCATATAATTAAAAATGAGACTTCTTACTCATTTTCTGTTGCATTATATTGGTTGCCAGGAGTTTCTCCAGGAATGTTTGCAGTGCTATCAATGTCACCAGTAAAACATACCTTGTACACATTATTTTGGTCTACGACAATTACTGGAATAGGAGAAAGGGCATGGCTGCTGATTAGTACAGTTATTCAATCATTAAGTCTTTTCCAATTCTTCATGACCCAATGGACATCATTTTGCCAGGATTGTCTGCCAGTAATTGCTTCTTGACATTTCTATTCTGACAGCATCAAGTATGTTTTGTTTTCACATTCCAGGTACAAATAGTATACATATTTTTGCAGTACTAAATTTCCCTTTTGACTTTGGAGACATAACAGCTGAATATACTTTTAGCTCTACTCCAGCCTTATCATGATCACCACCAATACTCTGTGACTTGCTCCTAAATCTTCTAATATTATGTTGACATAAATCTTTTTGGGCCAACTTCTTTTTCCAAAAGATTGAATATTTGTTTCTGGCAAACTTCTTTTTCCAATAGATTGTCTTTAATCTAATTCAACATTTATGACCTGCCTATCAATAAATGGCCCCACTAGAGGTGTACATAGCCAACAGTATAGTTTATAGTCTTGTCTGGGATGCACAAGGTGTTTTTAACCACTATAAGTTAATTAGAATATATAAGTGTTAATTAATATAATCAAATTATAATTAATAGATAACAAAATGGAGTAAAGGGTATTAATTATGACCATTTACTAAAAATAATTGAACAACTCCGACACTTGCTACGTTAACTAAATCTGATTTAACACTGTCAGTATGTTCATTAATGCTTGTCCCTAGATTTCTGTATTGGATAAAATCCAGTTTTTCTTTGTTCAGTTGCTAATTCCTCCCTCTAGGTGTTTATAACCAGTAATCTTACTTGTAAGAAGACAATGCAACATAAAGTCCACAATATATCACAGATATCCTCTTATATAGACATCTCTAATAGACACCAATGGGATGTAACTGAAGCCCAAACATCCTAGGATATTATGCTGGTGGGTATTTTGCTTAGCTTTAGTTCATGGGTGAAACATTAATGCTACAGAGCAGCCTTCTCACTCTGAGGTTAATCAGAATGTGGTTATAGAAAGCCATTTGTGTTCTCTGGATGACAGCATACAACCCTGAGGGTTCTCACACAGCCAAATACCAGATCTGGCTACCAAAACATGAAACAGATGGAAATTGTATCTCCCACCCAAGATAATTGGTTTTAGAATAGGTGGAAGAAACAGATGCAAAAAAATGTCAACATTAAACTTTATAAACAGAGCTTGCGTTTGATAAATGCAAGATGCCCTCACTGTTTCATAATGGCCCCTTAGTTTTCCACAATTAAACTACCTTATCAGAAATTCTGGGATTCTCAATGCCTGTTTAATTAGATCCAGTTGAGCTTGCTAGGGAAAGGCTGACAACAATGGGAGGTATTTCATGCAAGAGAAAGGGTCCTTCATTGTATGCATTTACATGAACATCATATTCAGTGAATACACAAGTGGCACATCACATCAAATGGTCAACAGAGCAGCTTGCATACGTGAATCAGACCTTAAAGGACTTCCCCCAAACCATTAATTGGCTATAAACAAAGCTTAGAACAGGGGTGTCAAGCTGCCGGCCCACGGGCCGGATGCATCATAGCAAAACCGCGCCCACCCCATTGCTGGCAATGGCAAAAAAAGTTGCGATACGTTGCGACACATCATGTGACATTGCGAGTTTGACACCCCTGGCTTAGAAGCAACATAATTCTTTGTCTTTTATTTCTTTTATGGCTCATTAATACTCTGGTTCAGATAGCAGATGCTCCCTAAAAAGAAACTTTCTCAGTGAAGACCTTTTCCCTCTCACTGGTGCAATCAACTTACAAGACCAAGATAATAATTCACATCAGAAGCAAAACCCAACAAAAGAACCCTCCTCTCAGCAGTATTGTTCATGCAGGGGACATTTGTAGGGGGAAGAACTACTGTAAGCCACTGAACCTACTTATGTGGTTTGTCCATCCGAATTAAGTAATATCCTGTCTTTATTATTTTTAAAAATAACTCAAGACAGTGAACATATGCAACACACCTTTCTCTTCCTATTAAGATGGGAACATGCCATTTGATTCACATTCACTGATAAAAAATAAGAGTTTTCAACCCTACAAAAATAGTGCATCAACATGGACAGTCATTAGCGTGACCAGTAGACAAATTCTGTTCAGCTAATCTGAACTTTTCTTGTGTTTATGTATGTCCATTTTAAGAGTTGCAAAACATTGTTTTATTGATGCTGATGCAGTTCTAAGGAACCAGTCTTTCTTGAAAAAAGATGATAAAGTCCAGGCTAATAATTATTACAAGAATGTAAAGCAAGTAAAGTATTTAGTCTTCCATTTAGTAGAATTATAGTTTAGAATTTTAAAAATAGGTTCATGTGGGCTTTTGGCCTCTCATGAGTACAATTTTCATTTGCAAAAAATCAGTGGAAGTTGAAATTCTAACCTGTACTGAATGTGAATTACTGAATTACAAATTTATTTTACTGACTTGAGTCTTATTTTTGGTATTAAAGAATCATTGTATTGCAACCATAATAATGTAAATCCTTCCCATCCTATTTTACTGACTTGAGTCTTATTCTTGGTATCAAAGAATCATTGTATTGCAACCATAATAATGTAAATCTTTCCCATCCTAAACTTCAAAAACAAAATGTAGGAGGTAGAGATGTGAAGATTTGTGCCAAGGCCATAATCTATGACACAATTACTAGAAGGGGAAGGTGTGAATAAGTGTGTTTTTGTGGAGTTACATTTTTATTACAACCAAACAGAACTGCAGAATTCAAGATGTTATTCTAATAATTACACCGTTGTTGGAAAAAGACTGATATATGGTAACTGACATAGGGAAATCATTTTTTGGAACTATCCCCTCTTGTACTTGTGCAGGTAGCAACACAAAATGTATAAAAATGGATCTCTTTCTTGTTCAAATTTTTTGCACCAATTTATCTTTTCTCCTTCATAATGTAACTGCTTTCAAGATTAGTTTAATCTTATAAAATATCTAAAATGAGCTTTCTCTCATTAACTAGTTTTCAAAGGCAAATTATTCATTCTTTCTTAATCTGACAAGATGAGGCGAGAAAGAATACTGTGGATACTGAGTTACATGTCCTGAGAAGGAATTAAAATCCCTTGAAAATCAAAGATGTTTGCAAAGCCTTTAACTTACTTCCTGGTTTTGCAGCTTTTGAATTTTTTTCTGAAAAGAAAGAAAGAAAATTTCAGAAAGAAGGAGAGAGAGAATCTACAAAGCAAGTTTTCTTTGCTAATTCTTTGCTTTCTTTGCTAATCAATTAATTCTTTGCTTTCTTTGCTAATTTGCTTTCTTTCAATTGCTTTCTTTGCTCTTTAATTAAGTTAATCCAGCAGCATTTTTGAAGTCACATCATACTGAAACTCAAAACAGCTATGACTATGAATGTTTTTCATAATGGGATGAAAGCGCCTTTTTTTTTTTTTTTTTGCACAGTTGTAGAGAATCCCTCCTGGGTGATACCATAAGGCTTCCTTATTTCTCCATTTTTGAATATTTTTTTCAGGCGTACAGAAACCACTTCCAAGATCCTCCAGAAGAGATCTGTTTTCAGAACTAGCCTATGTTCCAGAAGCTGGTGCTGCTAGGGAAATGCAATATGATTTAGCCTCCTATAATATCCGAAAGTGGTATAGGAAAGATCAGCTTTCCTTGCAAATACTAAATCGGTCAGCCTGATTCTCATGGGTAAAAACAGCCCTGAAACTAACTTGCTACCAAGCTATAAACTTTAAATTATATCTGAAAACCTAAGGAAGCCAACATAGGGCCCATTGTAATGTGTGCAGTGTGCACTGTCTCTCATGTGTGAGTGCCAGATTCTACATCAGTCACATTTTGGACTGCCTACAACTTCTGAATGGTCTTGTAGAATACCTGCAGAAAATCTAACCAAGTGTTAATGAGGGCTTGGGTCATGATGATAAGGTCCCAGGTAGGGCTGCAACTGGGACACTTTCTCAAGTTGGGCAAATGCCGCCCTGACCATAATATATCAAACAATAGAAAGTTATGGCTTGGGAAATAACCACATATGATCAATCATCGAGTAAAAATGTGGTTTTTCATTTCATTTCATTAAGGCTTTCAATAGTGAACAATTAATAATAAATCTTAATAGCCACTGGATTTAAAGAATAAGAGGAGGGGAGGAGGAGGAGGAGGAGGAGGAACAATTACCTTTAGTCATATTGTAATAAAAATTGGCTTCTTTTTCTGAAGAAACTGTTAAACAGAACAAAAATATCTAATTAATGTGGATTCTAAATTTAAGAGTTACAGATATAGACATAGAAATAGATATAAAGATACACAAACACACACATTATATACAGCTACTCTCTTGAAAGAACTTTACATGTTTCACAGTATTTAGCCCTTAATCAAAGTCCATGAGACTTTAACAAGGATAGAAGGAAAACTTCCTTGTGTCACAAAATCATGAGATCAAAGATTCTTATTCATGATGAAGGATGAGTGACCATGTTTCTATCTTTCCTCATCTTTCTCCTAGACTTTTCAGGACCAATTCCATTCCCCATATCCAAGAACACAGTATTTACAGAGGACCCAACTGATTTCTAGAAAAGCTAAAAACCACAGTAGTCCAATTTTAAACAAAAATCTAGAATCTTGTTGTTCTCTTAAAAATAACTCTCTAGATTTATGGTTTGTAAGGACAATTGTGCATTGCTGTAATAAGAAGAGGAAGACAAAGATTCTAACCTATCTCAGCCACTGGAGCTCACTGGGTGATTCTGGACCCCAATCTACCTCACAGAAAGAGATTTGTGTACATTGTCTTGAACTCTTGAATGAATGGCAGGATAGAAACCTAACACATACATACATATATACACACATACTACCTTTGTCATGTTTTAATTTCAAGGTTGTCTTTTCAACTGTTTTTCCTGAAGAGGTAAAAGAAAAAGAGAGAAAAATCAAATACAATATTTAAACTGAAACTCATACGATCCACTTTGATAACATTAAGATAAGGAAGGAAAGATATTAGCAAATTCAGAGAACAATTACTTTTCACCCAATCTTTTAGAAGGCCAAAAAAACCACCCCAGTCTTACCGTGTTTTTCCTTCTTTTCTCTCAAAGATTTTTCTGCTTTTTTCTCATCTGCAAAGGATATCCAAATCATAGGGGTTAAACTTCAGAGGTTTTGGATATTTACATATTGTTTCATAAACCCTTGGAGAAAACAGGCTTGTGATTTCCATCTGTCAGCAGCAGGGAAGTTAAATGTGGTTGGAAACAGAACAGATCTTATATTTGCATATTTACATGCTTTTCTGTGGACTTGGATTGAATCATATCTCAAGTGATTTGATATATGCACAGATGTCTTTCTTCAGCATCCATTTTTTCCAGGGATCCCTGAATACAGTCAATCAGCTGTGACTTCATACAAGGAGACAGACTGAAATTAACTAAGGTGCAGAGCTGGAGCAAGGCCGCCACTCTGATACTTCCTGCTGAGAACAACAGCAGGTAGTTGGCAGTTTGCCATAAAGCTATTCATTCTATCTGCCTTCCCCCCCTCAAGATACAGCTCACTTTAATGCAACTTCAGTCTCTATCTGCTCAACTGTGAGCAGCCTAGCATAATCTCCCCACATGCTACATTACCCTCCCAGACAGTAACAGCCAGCCAGATAATTCCAAGTAAGTGATTAAAGCTTGTAGCTACCTTGACAAAGTGAGTGATAAAAAAAGAATATTTGACACTTTGAGGCAGATCTTTTAATGTGACAAATTTAATTAGCTTTTATGGTGCTCAGTAGATATATGAGGTGAGGTTCTGGGCACATTAAGCTCCATCAGGTACATGATTCTCGTGACTGAATATTTTTGCTATTACATATACTATGTGTGTATTTACTATAGGTTATGTTTATATACTATATGTTTAGCTGCCATTTTGAGTTCAGCTATTGCTTTTTCTGCTTTTTCTATTGGGTGGCATGGGGATAGAAAGAGAAAGAAAAGAAATAAGAAGTACATCTATATAAATCTGCATACTTTAAGAGTTTGGGCCTGTTTTCGATACAGGCAGTCATTTACATATGACTGTAATAGCGTCAGCCCATTACGGTTATACATTGTAAAGTTTGTAAAACATGATCAATCTGATTTTGTGGCCATTTTAGTGGTAGTCATTAAATGAATACCATGGTTATTAAGCAAATCCATGGTTCTCTATGGGTGTGGTTTTGTGGAAAACCAGAAATAAGTGCCAATTTTCAGCCAACTGATCGTGAAAACACAGTCATGTGATCACGGGATGCTGCAAATGGCCGTCTATGTGGCTTTATTGCTGAGCGATCACGTGACCTTGGAGGGATCTGACCATTGGAACTTTGTCTCTGGGTCATAAATAGTCCCAAAGTAGGTCTGTCATAACTTTGAATGGGCACTAATTGACCAGTCATAAATCAAAGACTACCTGTCAAGTGTATGTTGCATACATGCACATATAATGGCACTTTCATTAAGTTAATGTAGAAATATTTCACTTGTAAAAACAAGCTGTACACATTGTCCCAGAAGTACTTTTCCCAAAGGCAACTGGACTTTGTTTTTCCTTGAAGACGTTTCGCTTCTCATCCAAGAACCTTCTTTAGTTCTGACCAAAGAAACTTCTTGGATGAGAAGCAAAATGTCTTCAAGGAAAAACAAAGTCCAGTTGTCTTTGGAAAAAGCACTTCTGGGACAACGATGACCTGGATGACTGAGAATCTCCACAGACATCAAGCTGTACATGTTGAATTATCCTAATCTAGCATACAATGTATCTGAGAAAATATAAGTGCTGTGAAAATGGAAAGTTTTACGATATAAAGAAGTTGACAGGAATTTTTGGCAGATTATAGATATTATGAATTGTATTTCTGTCATTTTTATTTTCTTGTAAGGTAAAAGGGCTAGTTTAGACTTATTATTTCAGATATAGACTAGTCTTCCTGGATAAATGTCTTTCAGATATGTTGGATTATGTTTCTGACAATCCCTCAGCCAGAAGATCAATGGACACTGGTTCAGGATAAAGTGGTAGCTGGAGGGTGCCCATTAGGAAACTCTGATCTGTTTTAATGCTAAAACTGAATATATTGGATTTTGCCTTGGGATTTGATATTATTGTTCTAATGTGGTCTGTTTTGCAGATAATCTCCAGTCAGTATCCATTTTATATCCTTGCAAAATGGCAGACATCTAAAATTATTTGAAATATTGATTACAGCTGCAAGTGAGGGGCATGTCAAACAGTTTAACATCTATTGAATAGAAAGATAAGACATAAGTAAAAAAATAAATATAAATTTAGAAGGCAGAGCCTTGACTTTTCATGCAGCTATGTTACATGAATTTTTTAGATTTAAATAATTAAAAAATAGCATGCACCAATAGCCCTTTTAATGCAAATAAAGTTCCTGATGTTGCAAAATGCTAGACATCTGCCACAAGCAATTAATTAGAGGCCTGTCAAAATAGGTAGAAAGAAAGAAATAGATAATGACTTTTAAAATATAATTTCAATTACTTGTATTCATTCCTATTATTACTGATAGATATAGAAATAGATAATTTTGGGTTTCCTTCATGTTAATATCTTTACTTTCCTCATTTAAAAATAATGCAAAGATTATTCAAATTCAGCTAAGTTAATACATTGGTATTCATAGGTCTTCTTCAATTACCCATCGGATAGGAGACAACTGATAACACAACACAAAAATCAGTGTAGTAAGACATTATCCCAAGAGTAGCAATCTACCAGTATATACTTGTGTAGCTGTCCTCTATCTATACTTAAAATAGGGGCACAAATGTTTAAAGAGAGATATTTGCAGCATATTATATTAATTATACTGTATATTGATTATCATAGCAATGTAAAAGCTTATAATATTTGACAAAATGAGTAAGAATAAAGTATGAAATTTGGTGCAAACTGGCATCAAGACTAAATATAGTTAGAATAAAACCATGTTATCATAACATGTTGCTAAATTTGTATTCAATTCAGAGATAATGTGATCATAGGTGAACAAAGGGAATTCATTTTGTAGTCATAGAAGACCTGCAGTAGAGAAATGGAGGGATTATAGGATTTAAAGAATAAAGCAAGAGTACAGAGAAGAACAACAAAGATGATTAGGGGACTGGAAGCTAAAACATATAAGGAATGGTTGCTGGAATTGGGTATGTCTAGTTTAATGAAGAGAAGGACAAGGGGGGACACGATAGCAGTATTCCAATATCTCAGGGGCTGCCACAAAGAAGAGGGAGCCAAGCTATTTTCCAAGGCGCCTGAAGGCAGGACAAGAAGCAACGGGTGGAAACTAACCAAAGAGAGAAGCAACCTAGAACTAAGGAGAAACTTCCTGATAGTTAGAACAATTAACCAGTGGAACAACATGCCTCCAGAAGCAGTGAATGCTCCAACACTGGAAGTTTTTAAGAAGAGACTGGACAGCCATTTGTTCGAAATGCAATAATGTTGACTATCTGTAGCTCGGGTATAGGATGAGGGTGAAGGTTCATTGTTCGAGCTTGTGGGTTGGTTTCTGAACATTTGGTTACCAGCGAAGGAAACACCTTCTGCAGAATTTAGGGGATGTCAGTGTCAGTGTTCTTCTCTTTATAAGGGCTTCAGGTGTGGGTGTCTCAAGTGAGGGTCTATGATGGGTGATGGGTAGAACAGCAACCAATTCTATGTGGGACAAACATCATGTCAATTAAAAAACAGGATCTACGAACACTGGCTGGCAGTCAAATGCCGCGATCCCAAATCCTTAAAGTCTACCCACACCAGCACCAAACAGCACCAGTTAGATTGGAGCAACACAAAAATTACCGGCCACGTTACCACCAGCCACACTCGTGAGTTCATCAAAGCCTGGCACTCCACAAGCAATTCCATCAACAGACACATTGACCTACAACCAGCCTACAAACCCCTCAGAATCCAGATCAACTGCACAGTCAACCAGAAACAGCACCGACTCTCAACCAACCCCCGCAAGCCCCCCTCCCTAGCAGTTCACCTCCCAATGACCCTGACCTGATGTAACCTTCCCATCAAAAGACCTATCACAAGACTCTCACCTGACACACCCATACCTGAAGCCCTTATAAACAGAAGAACTGACATCCCCTAAACTGACATTGACATCTCCTAAACTCTGCTGAAGATGATACCTAGCTTAGTAATGAAATGTTCAGAAACCAGCCCAAAGCTTGGAGAACTTTCACCCTCTTCCCAAACTCTTCAGCTCATTAACCCTTCATAAAGTTTCAGATTGTTCATCAAACCCCAAACATTTATTATATAAAATATTTTAATACATACTAACTTAATTAGTGGTACCATTGTATGTAGTGGTACTACAACAACAACAACAATAATGGATAGTCCCATTGACCCTTAGGGTTGATGTTGACCACTCTGGAGAACCCTACTCTAAAAATATGCAGGAGGTCTGCTGTCTTCTGTTGGCTATACAGGTAGCCCTCAAAGGTTCATTTAGTGATCATTCAAAGATACAACAGCACTTTAAAAAGTGACTTTTTTCACACTTATAACTGTTGTAGCACCCCCATGGTCATGTGATTTATATTTGGCTGCTTAGCAATTGACTCACACTTACAACGGTTGCAGTATCCTGGAGCCCTGTGATCCCCTTTTTGCAAACTTCTAACAAGCAAAGTCAATGGGAAAGCAAGATTCATTTAACAACTGTGTTACTAACTTAACAATTGCGAATTCACTTAACAAATGTGGCAAGAAAGGTCGTAAAATGGGGCAAAACTCACTTAACAAATTTCTCACTTAACAACATAAATTTTGGGCTCACTTGTAGTTGTTAAGTTGAGGGTTACCTATATGGTAATGGCACAGAAATACTAGCAACTGTATGAGAGTCACAGTCATTTTTACCAGTTATGCTCTATACTTAAACATTTGTTTTGTAGCAAACTGCAACCTGTAATCCACTACAGGGAATACGCTGCTTCTCTGTACATGGATAGTTTCCATAAATCATGAAAAGAGATGCCTCCTGAGAACAGCTACACTTTATATTCTCTGACATCATCTATGCAAAGCCTCTTTTAATTACTTTTCCTTTGCAACATAAGTAATTCTTACTATATTATTTAATATTATGCTCTCTATGGCAATAAAACATGATATGTAGTACAAAGATGTTCATTATTGGCCCTGAATGAAAGAGTTCCAAATGTGTCAATCTGCTACAGGTTGAGTTATTGCATTTAAAGTCTTCTTATCCAAGGGAATTCACATTGGGCTAATTCATGGGGCACCCCTGAAAGTTGTTGATGGAACCAGGGATGTCTGCAGGGAAAGGGATCAAAAAAGCCAACATGCAATCAAAGCTCCACCCCTTTTTACATGCATCATGATGCATGTTAAAAAGAGGCAGGCTTTGATCACATGGATTTAGACACAATCTTGACTTTGACCTTCTCCTTGCAGCCATCCCTGAAAGAAACACTGGTATTTCAGTGTTCTAGCTCTTTACTATGTACAGTAAATTATTTATATTCTTTAGTGTTTTTAAAAAAAGATAATGGAAAGTAAAATATTAATCACAATTAATCACCAAATGCATTATTTAAGCTATTCGGCTAACAATAGTTAGGAAATTCTATTAATTCAATATGTTAAAGTGCACAACCACCTTTTCAGAAAAAGATGGAATAGCAACAAAGGCATTATTAGCAATCAAGTTAACAAGGCTATTTAAATTGCAAGTTTAGAAAAAGCATTCACATGCAAAGCAGGGCAGCAAGTATAAGTATAACATGACATATCTTGTAATTTCTCTGGACTTGGCGAAAAATTAAAGAACCTTACTTCAATGGAAGAAAAGGAGAAAAAGATAATGTTGGGTGGTTGTTCTTGGCTTAAATAGTAGGAATGCATCATTCTGTCCTTATTCATAAGTAAGCATGATTTTTTCTTTGTTGGGGGCATACAATATGTGTAGAATAACAATAATGTCAGATGCTCAAGGCCTTATTCTGCTCAGTTTGTCAATTCCATTTCCCACTTTGCCGAGTGATTGTGTGAAGTAAGGATATTAGAATAAATACCTGGTTTGGCTGGATGAACTCCTTTTTCATGCCCAAGAACCTCTTGTTCTAAAAGGTGGGAGCAATATAAGATAAACTCAACATTGTTTTGCTGTTGTATTGTATTAATAGCTTCTGTTCTTAACTTTTACATTCTTATCAGATGGATTTCATATGAAACAAGTCATTTCAGAATTACTGAGAGAAGAGCTACGGTGTTAGCCCTATCTTCTGATGATCTCAAACTAGCATGCAGTAGATAGTGAATCTACATGTGTGGTCATGCTTAGGCTTTCTCTAAGAAGATAAGCCTACACACAGTACAGTTTTGGAATGGGTATGTTAGCAGTCTGTTGGGAACATGCAAATGGTAAGTCACTACTCTTGGTAACTTCATAATATCGCCTTCATACGAAAGGAATAAGGTCCTAGGGCAGTGTTTCTCAACCTTGACAATTTTAAGGCATGTGAACTTCAACTCCCAGAATTCCACAGCCAGCATTGCTGGCTGTGGAATTCTGGGAGTTGAAGTCCACATGCCTTAAAATTGTCAAGGTTGAGAAACACTGTCCTAGGGTGACTAGGGCCATCAATCACTGCAGGATAGAGGAACCTATTAAGATGGTTAGACCTAGCAGGTTTCTCAATGACCTGAAGGCACTTCTATTAGGCACCATTCCAGTTTGAAGAGCTCCATGAAATGAAACAGGTGAAAGAAAATGGGTTTCCAGTTGGGCTAGTCTAGTTCTATTAGAATCCTGGTCAGTGCCCTCTCTACATGGCTGCTTCTTCAGAAATATCATGACATTTCTAAGTTAGATTTGCCAGGTCACTGAAACAGGATTAATATTGTACTTCACAGTAATTTATTCATAGATCATCAGGATAGACAATGCTGGGGGCAAAACCTTTCTCTCTATTGCTCAGTAAAATCATACATACTATAGGACATTATTATACAGTCTGGAAAATGATATGACAGTCACATATATTACTGGAGTAAATGTATGATTATAACCACATTTTAATGAGCAAAATACAACATCCATCTATATGCAAATGGAACTCAATGTAAGGTGGTTCCTCCTTATGGAACCTCAAGATCTGTTCTGGAGAATTCCCAAAGCCCACAGATGGTTTAGGAGATAGGCAAAGGATAAATGTTTGCAACTGTCAGTAAAAACACAACTGGGGAATATCACCAAATTCTAACCATGATCACTATTCCTGTATTTTTTAATAGCTGTAAAGTTTAGAAACTTACTTGGTGGTTTATGTTGTGCCTCCTTGCCTAAAAAAATAGAAAACAAAGTGGAAAAAAAATAATGAATTTTAAGTCCTGTATCCCTTGAATCTTTAGAAAATAAAGATTGCAAAATGAAACATTTTTATGGCTGAAAGTCACAATAATGTAATTTTCTATGCAATGGTTTTCCAGGCAATAAAAGTCAATTTATGGTAATAGTCACTCAAATTATGCACCACCAGAGTCATAACAGTGTCAGCAATCTCTCCAATATCCAAAACAATAAAAAAACCCTACATCTTGTTAGGGTTTAACCTCAGTTTTTTCATCCCATCCAGATATTTATAGCTTCCAATTATAGGATGCGGCCTTCTACATCACCTCCATGGTGGCAATGTATTGTTAGATACTTTGTTGTAAACCTACCAAAGATCTTCTTCAATGATCTCATATAAATGCAGAATCAAGAAGACCAGTCTATGTGACACTTTACAGGAGACTACCCAAAAAATCAGTCTTTTCTTTTCCACTACTGCCTGCTTAGGAAAGAATCATAAAATCATAGAGCTGGGAGGGACCTTGAAGATCTTCTAGTCTCACTCCTTGCCCAAGGCAGGAGACTTTATTCCATCCTGGTCAAATGGCTGTCCAATCTTTTCTTGAAAACCTCCTCAGCAGTTGGACTAGAAGACCTCCAAGATCGCTTTCAGCCCTATGATTGTTTGATTTTAGCAATGGAGCACCCAAAACTCCAGGAGTTAAGCTGTTCTACCAATGGAAGGAGATCCATTGAAGGAGCTAAACTATTGTAAAACCATGCCTCCTGTCCTTAGCCCCTGCAAGTGGCCCAAAAGGGGAGCATAGTCTATAGTATCAAACATCACTGAGATAGCAAATAAGATCAGGAGAGATTCATGACCCATATCCAGATCTTGACAGAAGTCATCCACCATAGGACAAGTGTTATACTATATGTTAAAGGTCAATGGAACTTTTATCAACATTATAGACTATTAATTTATAACTTTTATATTCTACCTTTCCATTGAAAATTACACAAAGATGCAGATAAAATAATGTTGAGATGTAAACATTGATAAGAAATATATAATAATACTTGGCAGATTACAATCTGCTAAATCTGTTGGGATGCATAATGCCTGCCTAGATAGAACTAGCTTTGCCTGCTGGGTCCACCCTGGTAGAAATTACTCAATATCACAGGATTCAGAAGATAGGATGATATGATTTAAATTGCAAGAAGACATATTCTAATAGCATGTTAGAACAGTACATAGTGAAATCCAGTATCCAGTTGTGTTTAAATGGAGACATCTATTGGAAATGCTCTATTTTTGATCCTGCAGGAAGAAATGAATTGGATTAAATAGATCTACTGATCTCTACGATTCTATGCATAGATTAACACTTTGTTTCAAAGAAGCATTCGCTGTTGCTCCTTTTGCTTATTCAGTCTCCCCCCAATTTCACAGACTTCATAACACGATGATCAAGGAGACATATGTTAGCTCTCATCTCTCCAATGGATTTATTCTAAATTTTATGCTAATATCAATGTATTAATCACCTTAATTGTTTCATTGCCATTATCTTAAAAAAGCAGGAAACTTTTGTTGTGGCACTATTGTTTGGGGAGGACATTAAGGAACAACCATGTCAACTGCCCTGGTTTTTTTTTTTTTTTTTTTTTTTTTTGCGGAACTCTTCTAGACATTGACACAATTGTCTGTCATGATAGCAAGAAAATTGTAAGGGATCTAGAAAGACATTTTGATTTTTTCTTGAAATGGTCCCCTACTTTAGACTCAATCAATCTAAATAACATAAATTAGAAATTAATTAAAGATAATGGAATTGGAGGAAATTCTTCCATACTCAGGTCATCATCCCCTCATTAGACACAGAAAAAGCAATCTCAAATGCCTTGAGGAAGGATTGAGATAGACGCTGTTTAAGATAGACACCCATAGTTGCTATGAAATCATGACAGTGTGTTCTGAAATTCACCAGGACAATGAGAGCACAGGCACCATGTCCTTTAGGGATATTCTTGTGTAACAAGGGAGAAAATATGCCAATCAATATTTACATTGAATCATGTTTAGAGCACACATCCAATAGTGGGTAAGGGGAGAATCTGCTACCGTTTTGCACTGTTGCTTGTTTGTTGCTACCTACCAGGTAAGCAGATGAATAAACATGAAAATACTTTATTTACAGGTAGTCCTCAATTTATGGCCATAACTGAGCCTGGAATTAGTGTCATAAATCATGCTGGTCATTAAGCAGGTCAACATGTGACCACACCTAATTTTACAATCTTGCTTGTAGTGATTGTTAATAAATGCAGTGGTCCTAAAGCAAACATGGTAGTGTTTAAGCGACCACTGCAGTTGTTAAGTGAATCCTTTGTCTGTAATGGGCCATTTTTTTGCCAGAAACCGGAAGTAAATGCCTGTTTCTGTCAAAAAAAAAAAAAAAACTGTGGGCAGGCCACTAAAGGCTACTACAAACTGATTTAAATGAGGACGTTGCTGAGTGCCCAAAATGCGATTACCTGGGTCTGCAGGGAAGGGTAGTGGTTAGAGCTTCAAATCCAGGTTGTAGAGCTTCAAATCCTGGAGACGTCCACTGTAACTTCAAACGGTCATTAAGTGACCATTCATAAGTCAAGGACTACCTGTACAGCATTCATTTTCGCAACAATAAATTTTTTTGGCTGTGGTCTGGTACTACTGCAATGCTAAAAGAAGAGATGAATATATGATCTAATTAGTGGCATTTGCCACAAAGGTGCGTGTGTGTGCTCCATGGAGTGCAAATTAATGGTAGTGGTTCAGTGCCATCATTTGAGAAAGCACAGGCAGAACAGTTGCTGGAATTGAGTATGTCTAGACTCTAGTTTAATGAAGAGAAGGATGAGGGAGGACATGATAGCGGTGTTCCACTATCTCAGGGGATGCCACAAAGAAGAGGGAGTCAAGTTATTCTCCAAAGTGCCTGAAGGCAGGACAACAAGCAACGGATGGAAACTAATCAAGGAGAGAAGCAACCTAGAACTAAGGAGAAACTTTCTGACAGTGAGAACAATGAATCAGTGGAACAATCTGCCTCCAGAAGTTGTGAATGTTCCAACACTGGAAGTTTTTAAGAAGAGATTGGACAGCCATTTGTCTGAAATGGTATAGGGCAGAAGTAGGCAACCTTGGCTCTTTTATGACTCGTGGACCAACTGCCAGAATTCTCATAAAAGTCATAAAAGAGCCCAGGCTGTCTACCTCTGGTATAGGGTCTCCTGCCTGAGCAAGGGGTTGGACTAGACTAGATGACCTCCAAGGTCCCTTCCAACTTATTATTATTATCGATCATCGCACAGTCAGCCAGATGTTCAGACTGGATTTGGCATTTTGTCTACCTATCGAGTCCTTACCCAGGACCTGGGATAGGCAGATGTGGATGTTTGATGGTATTACAGATATCGTCGCAGGATGGAAGCAGTTCCTAATAAGGCTACCTTTTGCAATTGACTAATAGCGAATTTGTCGATGGCAATGGTGTTCAAGTGGTGCTCCAGTTGTTTTGGGATTGCACCCAAGGAGCCTATGACTATTGGTACTACCCTTGCTTGCTTTTGCCACAGTCTTTCTATTTCTATTTGTAGGTCTTTGTATTTTGTTATCTTCTCCAGTTCTTTCTCGCCTATTCTGCTGTCTCCAGGCACTGCCACGTCCACTATCCAGACTTTTTTGTCTTTCTTATCGACAATTGTTAAGTCTGGGGTGTTATAAAAGAGCCAAGGTTGCCTACCTCTGGTACAGGGTCTCCTGCCTGAGCAAGGGGTTGGACTAGACTAGATGACCTCCAAGGTCCCTTCCAACTTTTTATTATTATTATTATTATGGATCATCGCACAGTCGCCAGATGTTCAGACTGGATTTGGCATTTTGTCTAAATGTCTCCAGGCACTGCCACGTCCACTATCCAGACTTTTTTGTCTTTCTTATCGACAATCGTTAAGTCTGGGGTGTTATGTTGCAGGTGCTTGTCTGTTTGAATTCTGAAGTCCCAGAGCAGTTTAATTCTATCATTTTCTATGACTTTCTCTATTTTATGATCCCACCAGTTTTCACTTACAGGCAAATGATATTTTTTGCAGATCTTCCAATGCACCATTGTTGCTACTTTGTCATGCCACTGCTTATAATCAGTCTGTGCAATCTATTACTATTATTATCGATCATCGCACAGTCAGCCAGATGTTCAGACTGGATTTGGCATTTTGTCTACCTATCGAGTCCTTACCCAGGACCTGGGATAGGCAGATGTGGATGTTTGATGGTATTACAGATATCGTCGCAGGATGGAAGCAGTTCCTAATAAGGCTGCCTTTTGCAATTGACTAATAGCGAATTTGTCAATGCCAATGGTGTTCAAGTGGTGCTCCAGTTGTTTTGGGATTGCACCCAAGGAGCCTATGACTATTGGTACTACCCTTGCTTGCTTTTGCCACAGTCTTTCTATTTCTATTTGTAGGTCTTTGTATTTTGTTATCTTCTCCAGTTCTTTCTCTTCTATTCTGCTATCTCCAGGCACTGCCACGTCCACTATCCAGACTTTTTTGTCTTTCTTATCGACAATTGTTAAGTCTGGGGTGTTATGTTGCAGGTGCTTGTCTGTTTGAATTCTGAAGTCCCAGAGCAGTTTCATTTTATCATTTTCTATGACTTTCTCTATTTTATGATCCCACCAGTTTTTGCTTACAGGCAAATGATATTTTTTGCAGATCTTCCAATGCAACATTGTTGCTACTTTGTCATGCCGCTGCTTGTAATCAGTTTGTGCAATCTTCTTGCAACAGCTTACCAAGTGGTCCACTGTTTCTTCAGCTTCTTTGCATAGGCGGCACTTACTGTCTGTTGCTGTCTTCTCAATTTTGACTTTGTATGCATTTGTCCTTAAGGCTTGGTCTTGTGCAGCCAGAATTAGTCCCTCGGTCTCTTTCTTCAATTTTCCTGCTCTTAGCCATTGCCAGGTTTTATTGTTATCTGCTTTCCCAGCTATTTTTTTCATGTATCGGCCATGTAGTGCTTTGTCTTCCCATGCCTCTATTCTGTTCTTCATTTGGTCTTTCTTGTAGGCCAGTTTGGTCTCTCCAGTAGTTAGTAAGCCTTCCTGATATACTAATTTCAGTGCATCTTCATCATTGTTCTTCAGATATTCTTCCAAAGCCATTTTTTCTTCTTCAACCATCTGATGTACTTGTAGCATTCCACGCCCACCTATTTGCCTTGGTAGATAAAGTCTATCAATGTCACTGCGTGGATGAAGGGCATGATTCATTGTCATTATTTTTCTGGTCTGCCTATCCATTGCTTTTAGTTCTGCTTGAGTCCAGTCCACTATTCCAGCTGTGTACCTAATGACTGGGATTGCCCAGGTGTTGATTGCCTTTATGGTATTTCCTCCATTGAGTTTGGACTTTAAGATCTTCTTCACTCTCTTGATGTATTCACCTCTAATCTTTTTCTTGACTTCAGTGTGCTTGATGTTGTCAGCTTGAAGGATACCCAAGTATTTGTAGTACTCTTCCTCATCCAGACTCTTAATGTTATTTTCGTGGGGCATCTTGATTCCTTCAGTTTTCATTATTTTTCCTTGTTTGATAGTAAGTGTGGCACATTTGTCCAAGCCAAACTCCATTACAATATCTTGGCTATATATACGGACAGTGTTGAGCAGCGATTCTATTATTATTATTATTATTATTATTATTATTATTATTATTATTATTATTATTATTATTATTATTATTTCAGGAAATCCCTACTTTTGTTGTCTACAATGTAAGTCTTTATTCTGGTTACATCAGAGGGACTTGTAAAAGTCAAAATTCCTAGGCATATATTTAAGAAGCATGCTTCTATCTCAAAATAAGCAGTTCTTCTGGGCTCATTAATTTTGGACACTATTTATTTTGATTCCTCTCTTGGTATCACCTGTCACTGTTCTTTATAACCATTTTATAGTTTTAATGAGTCGGTTCTTCTTTCTAGAATGCCAAGAGGGTATTAATTACATAGTCTTTTGTGTGTGTGTGTGTGTGTGTGTGTGTGTGTGTGTCTGCAAATGGGCCACAGAACATGTTTCCAAATGAAAATTGTTCAAGCAAGTGAACCATAGTGCCAGAAAATATTTCCTGATTTTTCCAGGAACATGCCAACTCTAAAAAATAGCCATTTAATAGAATATGAAGAGAATGTATGTCTATTCATATGCACATGCACAAAAGAGAGGAAAAGAAAAAAAAATCATGAAGTAATATATGTATATAGTGGCAAGAAGAAAAAAATCAGTTTAAAATAATTAATTATGCTGAGCAAAAAGTCCAAAAAAATGACAAAGAAAAGGACATAAACAATCTCTGTTGTCAGAACAGATAAGAGGGCTATCTAGCTCAGCATTTTGTTTCCACAGCATCTCACCAGCTTTATTACCCAGGACCTGGGTTTTCCGAAACATCCTGCCTCTGATATTGGATATAATCTATAGACAAATGATTAGGAGCCATTAATAGCTTTATTCTTTCTGAAGTCTTGGCTGTGGTTTTATTTCTTTGATGTATTAGTTACTTTCTTTGATACTGTTGGCTCTTGAAGCCTTTTGATGCTCTTCAATAAGAACACCCGAAGTTTAAAAATGAAAACCAAAATTTAAATAATCAAAAAGCCTGTTAAAAGTATCATATTTTAAAGGGCTTTAAAAAAAAAAGCAAAGAGATCATTAGGGAACACCTTCCAGATAATGATCAGCAATCTACAGTTGCTTTCAGCAACTGTAGATTTCCAAACATTATGAGGCCATCTCAATGAATGAAATAGCTTGTTAAGCCATGTGGGCTTTTAAAGGTAATATCTAGCATCTTGTACCAAAACTAGAAGTAAATTGGCAGCCTTTTAATGCTTTTAACACAGGCATAATACATTCTTTCCCAGGGTCAGTATGATGCTAAATGCATGTGCTATATGAAAATTCTGGAGAAGACAAAAAGGCATCCTTAAGCAGAGGCCTAATAATTATGTCCTTTAAACAATGAGGCATAGTACCTTCTTTCAGAAGAACATTTATGTATTAACAAAAGCATCTCCAGTAATTTCCTAGCTAGAAATTACAAGTGAAATTGGCAAAATCAAGAGAATAAATTATCTTGTACTATATTGGTTAATTTCAAAACTAGCATTCAATGTTCAGTAATTTGCATACACTGTAAAGAAAGGTATCTTAAATATATCATTAAACATAATTATAAAAAAGTGCAACATTTTCAAGATGTTACTGTGGTTTCCATCCACTTTATTTTCTAACCTGAGAGAAACAGTGGCTCTTTTGTTATCCATTGGTTTTGATCTCTACAATATAATCCCTAACATCAAGTTAGGATGCTCCTGGTATCTCCATTCTCCCTGAATAGGGCAATATCATGGAATTTAATTTAGGCTTTACTGGACTAGCATACACAATCAATGGGCTACGTTCAGTTTAATGTGTTACATTTGTGGAGCCCTCACACAGTGATTAAATGATAGCAATCTCATGTCTTTGAGTCTAGGAGTGTCTCCCCCTCCCCCAATAAACACTTCCTTTCATTCCTGTCACCATAATATAGTGAGAAATGTGAGCTTTATTCTGATATAACAACAGGTTTTATGCTTTTGTATGCTATGGTGGTGACATTGCATGCATATATGAAAGGAGCATGGTACAACCCTCCTTTTGTCATTTTGATGAAAGTGTGGGATTCTATGGATGCCTCTGAGTATAGTACTCAATAGGAGAAATAGTTTGCACACAAACTGTTCTAGAAAGCCCTGGGAGATTTCCCATATGCGGTACACAATTCTTATTTTTTTTACAGTATGGGTCCCCAACCTTTCTGGGTTGGCGGCCTGAGGTGGGGTGGTGGTGGAGGCACCTTTATGCATGTAAGCACACAGCCATGCAAATGGGGCCACATGCACAAGAATGGGGCCGTGATTGTGCATGCAACCAAATGGGGCCATGAGCACCCGTGCAACTGCTCGGGTGACACTAGCACCCATGCAATGTGATGCTAGCATGAGTGGGGATGTTGTGCTTGCATCGATGATAGTGCTGGCATGACACCACAATGCTAGCGCGAGTGGGGTGTGTGTGCTCGTGGTGATGCTGGCGCCCACCTGACACGGCATTGCTAGTGCCCACGCGACGCTGTGATGCTAGTGCAAGTGAAGGGATGCAAGCACACACACGCACTGGCCAGCCACTCATTTGGCCCAGTGGCCAATAGCCCATGGCCCGGTAGTGGGCCATGGACCACAGGTTGGTGACCCCTGCTTTACAGTATCTATTCTGTTATGTATATGTATAAATGAAAAAGTACTCTCTCATTAGGTCTACAGTATATCTGTCTGTCTATCTATCTATCTCTATCTACCATGCGCCATTGTGGCGCAGTGGTTAGAATGCAGTACTGCAGGCTACTTCTGTTGACTGCTGGCTGCCAGCAGTTCGACAATTCAATTCTTACCAGGTCAAGGTTGACTCAGCATTCCAACCTTCTGAGGTTGGTAAAATAAGGACCCAGAGTGTTGGGGGCAATATGCTGACTCTGTAAACCGCTTAGAGAGGGCTATAAAACATTATGAAGTGCTATATAAGTCTAAGTGCTATTGCTATTTCTGTCTGTCTCTCTGTCTATCTATCTGTCTGTCTGTCTATCTATCTATGATCTATCATATGGCTAGATATCTTGCTACTGCGACTCTAGGTCACTAATAATGAATTAAAAATGAAAAATAGCAAATTACAAAACCATACCTGTAATGGCAGGATGAGAAATATTCTTGCTTTGTTTTATCATGCTTGAGGCTAAAAAAAATGTAAATCAGATATAAGAAATAACAATCACTTTCTTTGAAATCTATCCACCTATCATTCAGTTTATTTATTATAGCAGTCTTCTCTGGTCATGTGCTCTCCAAAAGTGTAATTTCTCCTTGACCCAAAGCCATTTGATTGGAAGAACTATTTATTAATTTATTAAATATGTATATATAGTAAAGAAGGATTTTATAACATATTAAATGTAACAGCCAACCAATAAATATTTCTTTACCAATTACTATCTTCAGCAGTTTGTAGCTATAAAACAATTCTGCTTTCATAAAATAAAAGAAATGGGAACTTTTGTATGACCAGTTCGTGCACCGCATTGCCTGATTGTACAGGGTTTAAAAACAAGTTACAAGTAGTGGAAAGTTTTAAAAAATAAACAATATTTTTGTCAAAATATTTCTCATTTGACATTATGATATCACAACTTTTATGGTACAGATTGAATATAGTAAACTCCATTATTTAATTCAGAGTTTTAGATAATTATAAAATTATTAAAGAGGGATTTTAGATAATTGTACTTTAAGTCAACTATTAAATGAGAATTTTAAAGGTGTCCTATTAATGTTAAGGGAACATAGCTCATAGTCATTATTAATAGAAATGAAAGAATAATTAAAAATTAGCAACTTTGGCAACTGAAATTAAGTTTCTCAAGTTGAGTACTATCCAAAGAATTGGATAGCAGTATCCAAAATATTAAGAACATCTGCAACAAACACTTCTAATCCAAGTTACTTAGAATCAGTTAGTTATCTGTTTTAGCTAGGCTTCCCCCCTTTTTAATGTCAATTTCTAAAGAAAAAGAAAAAAATAACTTTCTTTTTAAAGTCAAGATTGTCAGCCCATCTTGATTTTGAATGTATTTCTTAACTTTGCTGTACTGTACTGTAGAATAGTCTTAAGGGGAAAAAAACACTTTTACATTATCTCTAATAGTTTCAAGATTATTTAAAGCTATAAATCAGACTGAAAATTGAGCTAATAACCCATTGAAAAAAAATAGAATGAACTCACATACCCATATTTCCTCCCCATTGCTCCTCAGTAGTTTGTTGTTGTTTTTTACATCACCATCTGGTAACATCATATTGAGTTACAATAGAGTAAATAATATATAGACTCTCTAGCCTTGCTTGATATAATGGTATGTGGGAATGACCTTGGGGGAAGCTACAAGATGTTTGCCTAGGTAGATAAGAATTGGTAGAGCTCTCAGATGCATAAAGGTCAGAGAAATAAACTCAGAAAGCATTCTCCCCAACTTATCAGGCTGTAAAAGGAGGCCATGAGAGATTTGTACTTTCAGACTTGCATGATTTGTTAATGTAGCCTTACAAATCAGAATTAGCTCATCTGGCCACATTTCTTGTCTGATCTACATATTCAGGCTGACATTCAGGCATATATATATAATCCAACACACAACCAATTTCGTCCTTAGTTGCCCTAGTAAAGACAGCAAAGAGACCATCTCCATGCAACAGCTAGGCTTTACCTAAGAACACTCCTACCCAAGCTGTAACACTCCCCCATCAAAGATCCAGATCACATGGACCACAGACTCATAACATAGAGCAACTGCATATAAGATTGCACTTTCAGCCTGCTTCACAGCCCAACTGCAGAAATACTACAGTCTTTGGGTGAGGGTTTTGTTTGACATCTCAGCTTCTCTTGATCTTTACTCCTTATTTCAGTGCCTCTTTCAACTCGTGTCCTATTATTTTGTTTTGCTTCGGGTCAAGTGGGTATTTAAATAAGGAAACGTAATTGGAAAAGGTTGCCTGGTGTGCTTGGCAGCTGCAGCATGCAAGTCAGCATGAATGAGAATATCAAACAGTGCTATTTAAAACATCCTCATTTAGGAAGCATGATATGTTTTATCTACCAGGCTATCAATTGCAAAGATACCATTAGGCTTCATAGTAGTGCAAGGAAGGACATCTGAAATGCTGAAACAGCAATGCAGTATTTTGTGAACAGCCTCGACCACATGGACATTTCCATTATTAAAAACGGATAAATTTGGATTGAAAAAAATGGTTTTTTTAAATGCACACTTGCCTCACTTTTTGCAGACTACAGAGATAAAAAAAAAACCCAACAAACGATTGCTAGAAGACATAAGGAAATTGGGCCCACAGCTCTTATGAAAAGATGGGGGAAATGAGCAAACAAAAAGGAATACTGCCATACAATTGAGTAGACTATCTCTGCCTTTTCACCTCCAACCACTAATGGCTTATTGGGTTTCTGAAGAGAGATCACTCAAGTATATGCTCCTGAGCCCTTTATTGGGAAATGGTAATAGGTGAACTGAAACGTTTCAGAGCACCGCTTATTTCTAATCATGGACCAATACTCAGTAGTAGAAGTATCTGGAAAGGGATAGAGAAGGACAGTGAATAAATAATCCATAGCAGGCTCAGGTGGACACTATTCAAGTAAGTAACACTACCCAATAGATCAGGGGTCTTCAAACTTGGCCCTTTTATGACTTGTAGACTTGTAGACCTCAGCCAGTCATAAAAGAGGCCAAGTTTGAAGACCCCTGCAATAGATATTCCTGGTGAGCCAATGAAAGAAAAAAACAAAGAAGAATATTTGTAGCTCAGAGTTGAAATGAGGGGTCTTTGGTGTTCTCTGAACTCAGTTCAAGCTCTGAGCTTGGCTCTGAGTTCAACCAAGCTCAGAGAGCACCAAGGACCCCTCAAAGAAGAAAATGTTTGCTAAGTCCTTGTTCCATCTGTGAACCCCAGCATGTTCTCCTGTGATTTTCTGGACAGTGTGTCAATCCTTCAGAGCACTTTAAAAAAAAAAGAAAGGTAAAGGAAACATAGGCCTATTGAATAGCTAGAAAAACCTATTCATCAGAACAGATCTGAGTGAACTTGTGTTCCCAGGAAACCTGGATATCTTATCTTCTTGCCTATCTTCAGATTTAGGAGTGGAGGATTTGGGAAGTTTGGTTATATATTAACTATAACTTATTTTGGACTTTAGACCCTCAAAATATTAATGCTAATTTTCTAGAGATAGTTCTCTTGCAATATATTTTCAAAAGATACAGAAAGGAATGTTAATTTGCTTATTTACTTATTTATTATAACACAATATATTCATGTTATATTTAGCTCTCTTTCGATTGACAAAGAATTCTCCCAATATCTAACAAATATTACTTGCTGAAAGCAATGAAACCTGGATTGGCAAGTAGCATAGAGAGAGGGCTTTCTTATCTTCTGAGGCAGGAGGTAAAAGCAGAAGTAGGGTGTCAGGCAAAATCAAGAATCGGCAAGAGAGTGTCACTGCTAGTTAATCATCCTGCAACAATAGACTTCCATGTGTTTGGCCTAAATAGTTTCCACATGCAGGACCAGCAAGAGATGTAGAAAAAAAACCCAAATTCTCCTGTCATATTGTACTATCTACAAACAAGAACTAGACAACCATGACCCATTGGGTCATAATTTCAGAGATATTTCCTTACCTAAACCAACAAACAGAATTGCCATGGATGGACAAAAAAGCAGTGGAAATCAGACTTCGTGCTGGCTTCCACACTGATTTTGCTTGTTAATATTTTTTATTAAACTAATATATGCTTTTTTCCCCTTCTTTTTATTTGTTCTGTGATCTCCACGGGTAATTAAATGACCAACTTGTGGAGAAATTTTAACATATTAAAGGGATGCATACTGTGATGCTCCACGTAGCATATTGATGGTCCTGAATGCAAGAGAGAGATAAACCACTCAAATCATGAAAAACCTTAACTCTCAACAGGAATGCCAAAATGAAATTTTGTTATTGTTCAATGGAGTAAATATCAATGGAAAATATGAATTACTAGACTGAGGTTGTTGGAGGTTTTGGCTGTGACTTTTCTCAAACCTTGTGTCATGGGAGCTATGTGTCATGCCACTTACTATTATGAAAAAAGAATGAGAAGACTAGCAAAGCCTCAAGCTGTAGGGACACTTGCAACCGATTTAGACATAGCAGTTATACTTTTTTTGACAAAACATCAATGTCCTGACATGCATACTAAGAATCAAGGGCATGTTTGCTGTAAACAATGATCAATTTGTATTATATAAAGTGCACCACATAAAATAACAGACAGCTTCATTGAATCTCTGATCCAACCTTATGGACAGCATGAAACAATAACAAAAAATTACACACATATTACATGACTGATTTGCTCAACATTTGTGGCCTCAACCATCTCTCCCCTTCCCCCAAATCACAGACACTACATAAATTGAACATATAATCATAAGCATGAGAGCTTGCTTCACTGATATTTGAAACAATAGATACAGAGGACCATGTATACAGATACAATACAGGTTAATTTCATTCATTCATCAGATCTTCACTTTCTCAGCTGACTAGAGGAATTTTCATTGGTATGGTGACCCCAAATTTATACAAACACTGCGTAGAAGAAGCTAGCCATTTTCCCCCAGATCCAATTTTTAGAAGAGCTTCAAAGAGTGTAAAACATGAGTTTACTTTGATATGGTCTTTAGCAACCTCTGTCATACTCTCTTGAGATTGGATCAGGTAAATTTAGGTGTTTTTATAATCATAAACTGTGAACAAAATCTTGTTTGCATTTCTTCACCAGTCATTTAAAATTCATGTATTCTGAGGGGGAAAGTCTCCTTTAATTTGAAGAGAAGGAAAGCAAATGCAAGAATTTGATATTTGATTAATATAATAATATACTTACCTTTCTTTTTCTCGGCAATGGGAAGCTTTGCATCATTTGATTTTGCTGCATCTGAAAAATACAATTTTCTTAGCTTGCAAAGTGCAAATTTAAGCATGTCTTTCCTTGCCTTGAGTACAAATGTGTCAGTCCCCATTTTAAAAGCTATAATCATAATATTTTTGCAATAGTAACACAAGGGTTAGCACGTGTGCTGAATCAGGAATTAAACAAGCCAGACAGTTAAGGTGAATAAAGCAATATAATATTATGAATGTCTATCCCTTTTTCATTATATACATACTGGAGGATTGGTATTATCAAAGTTCATAGCTTTGCAGACATTTAGCATTAAAAAGTGTCTTTTTATCATAAAATCACAGTTCATTACAATGGTTAGAGGTATAATTTAGCCAATTTAAAAAGATTCTATGATTTTACTGTTATGCTTTTGATCTGTGAAAATGAAATCCAGTATCTCTATACTACTAAAACTCTTGTTTGTATAACCTTTAACTGGCAAAACAGTGCAGCCTAGGGCAACATGTTATTGTTATTGATATTAAACCAAGGTACCTGAAAGAAGCTAACATACAAAATGTGTCCAAAATCCAGGACCCATGATTCCCTAAAGAATAAAATTTGGGAAAGTTATGACAGCTTCAGCTGCCAGGCTAGTGCTCCACTTACAATCCCTCATTTTCTCAAGGGAGAAAGGAAGGAAGAAAGATTTCCAGTGCTCTCTGTCAGCTTCCCACAAGGAAATTAAATGGTGAAGCTGCTCCTGCTCCCACTGTTTTTTTTTTTTTGGTCATTCTGCTCCTCTGTTTAAGTAAAAAAAAAAAATATCTGAAACAATGACCCATTGGGACACAGGTTGTCTAGTATATATATATAAATGTGGTAGGTGACCGGGATTGAAAATCAACAGTTCATGTAAAAACTAACTTACTCCATCAAGGTTTCTATCTTGCTATTTTTCAAAAACAATTTGAAACCAACCCACAATTGTTTTCAGTGTTATAGACCTTACAACACTAAGAACAAGAAGCAAAAAATCATTGCCCTGATCAAGCTCCTGAAGAGGAGGAGGAGGAGAAGAAGAACCTGATAGACCTAGGAGAATGGGAGGCATAAAAATTTAAAAGGAAGGAAGGAAGGAAGGAAGGAAGGAAGGAAGGAAGGAAGGAAGGAAGGAAGGAAGGAAGGAAGGAAGGAAGGAAGGAAGGAAGGAAGGAAGGAAGGAAGGAAATTTCACCTACTCTCACTTCAGTTAAGCCAGTGAAGTGAGGGGAGCTCAGCTCAGTTTCCCTAGCCAGGATATTGAGCCAGGATATTACAAGAGTTTTGTTTTGTAATGATTGGGATTTTGATTGTGGTTAGGCTTGGATACACTTCAATGTTATTGTCTTTTTTATTTTTGCTTGATTTCTTTGTTTTTTTGTTTTAACCCTAAATTAGCCAAGCAGAGTCACAATTTGCGAGGCCATATAAATTGATTAATCAATTTATCAAACGTCTAAAATGTGAAACTGCTAAGATACCATTTACTGCATAGGACTTGTTAAGTAGCTATTGATCAGAAAGCAATTAGAGAATAATGCAAAAGATCCCTCCAAGCCCACCACAAATATCCTATTTTTCCAGCTGAAAACCCGCTTCAGACCTACTACTACTGCAGCAGAGTTGGAAGTAAATCAGCCAAGCTACCAATAGAAATCATAAGAAGATGGGACTGGAAGGGTTCAGAACCAAATGGGAGTGCTGCAAACTCAGTATGTGGAAGAGCCATTAGATGAAAATGAACACCAAAAAAGAGGACATGGTAAATTAAGGACTCTTTTTTCTTTAATGACAATACTAAGTCCATTCTATAACATTATATGTAATGTTCCTCATATAACTATCTTAAATCACTTTAGCAACAACAAAAACATTTGTGAAATCCTACAATGGTCCTAGTTACAAAAAAGAATAAGATCTTAGAAATGATGTTTACCTTTTCCTTTGACAGCAATAGGAGGCTTCACTTTTTCTTTTGAGATATCTATAAAAACATTCATTCGTTCATTCATTTTGTTTTGCATTTTTTCTTTAAACCGCCCCACACACACAAACACACATTTCTGGGTGCTTTTAAACCTTCATTTAATGTAACAAGACTATATATAGCTAGATCAAGTCAACAGAACCAATCATTGTTATTTCCTTCCACAAGTTTTTCCACTCTTTTTGTTAACTCTATGGGCTTGAAAAGAATTTCTTCACTACTTTGGCAATCCAAAAGTAAACTGAAAAAGTCTTAAAACTTTAAAAATATATTTCTTTACCCTTTTTCTTTTGGGTTTCTGTGGTCTTCGTTATTTTTTCTTTCTTAGGCTCTGTGTAAAAGTACAGTGAGCAAACATTAGTCATATCTAGCAAATTAATAATCCCAAACTGAAGCTGTGTTGACACGATATGCAGTTTTGCTGCTAAGTTTTGAGTTGGATATATTGCAAATTCTTTTCATGGTAGCAGTAGTAAGTATCAATAGCTAAAACCATGTAACTTTTTTCAAGCAGGGATTGAACATAATTTGTGTTCATAGAAAAAGAACTGCACTTATGCGACTCTTTCCATGACCACAGCACTTTTCCTTTGACTGAAATTTATTCTGTTCACAGAGAACATTAGATGCCTTTGTGTGTAAGCATCAGAAGGATCCCAACCTTATGGCTACTTTTTGCTACTATAGAAACAACAGGTGACCAATCACCCTGAATGTCAATAATGGATGGTGTTGCACTTTGACCTTTCAGATTTCAGGATTAGTAATGCTTTGACAGAAGTAGAGGGGCAGAAATATAAATAGATGGACAGAAATAAATGAGGAATGATGTCTTGAAAGCCCCCCAGACATTTCAGATCTTCTTGTATCTCACTCAGCTGGAATGAAAGAAGACTGTAGCTTGCAGCAGTCCTAATTGCATTCAGCTATAATTTGCCTGACTCGATGTGGCATTTTAAATGCAAAACTTTTAAAAGCCATGGAAAAGTATAACACCAAGCAATGAGTTGTGGCACCTATTTGCTAAGACAAGTCTCTGTGGGTACTAGATAGTCAAATAATTTCCTACTTGCCTGACAAGGTCCAGATATATGAATATAAAAGGTTGGTTATACTTTGTCAGATCATAAATTATTTTACTTAACTAGACAGCTTCATATTTCTTACTAACTTTTAGCTGCTGTATTTAAGATTTCATTTATTTAACAGCAATCATAATCTACTCCTACTCTAAATGAATTCTGGACGGCTAATAGCAAAATACAAATCAGATTAAAATATAAAAAAAAACAATCTCAAACCATAAAACAACAATATAGATGTACTGCTGCTTCAGAAAATCATTGTAATACCAAGGAGGATTTGTGCTCTTTTTCTTTCTTGGATAAAATAGCTTCTCTTTTGTAATTCCTGTGCATGGCAGAGCAAAGTAGGATCTTTCACTTCTCCACCAGTTTACTCCTCATAAATCCTCAGGCAGTTAAGCTCAAGAGTGCTAAATTTTTATTTCAAAACTACTTTGCCAAAGCCAGCCACTTTAGTAGGGAGAATGTGATAAGTGAGCTGGTACTGTCTCATACAGATTCTGATCACTTTTCGGCAAGAAAAGATAAACAGCTAATGTAATTTATTAGAAGTATGAGTAACTGCAAGAGGTATAAGGTAGCTAGATATAAGCTACTTTGAGAGGAGCTTTACTATAGGCCTGTTCAGGAAAGCTGCTATAACGAGCTGGGATCATGATCACCTTTGTGAAGGATAAGGGGCTCCCAGATGCCATGGGGGTGTGAAATTCTATTTACACTCCTCAACAGGCAGTCTTTGACTTATGACTGTAACTGAGCCCAGAATTATGGTTGTAAGTCACTGAGACTGTAAGTTGAGACATCACGTGACCACATTTTTGCAGCTGTCATTAAGTGAACACCACAGTCATTAAGAAAATCCATTTTCCCCAAAGGACACTTTTTGCCAGAAACTGGAAATAAATGCCAGAATCCAGGGCGGAAAAACCATTCCAAATCACAGTCAGATGAGGACAGGACACTGCAAATGGCTGTAGGGGTAAGCTGATTGCCAAGTGTCCAAAATGAAATCATGTGACTATGGGGGTGGGGGTGGGGGTAGGTGCAGCAGCCATCATAATTTCAAATCAGGTTATAAATAGCTCTGGAGAGGTCTGGCATAACTTTGAACAGCCATTAAGCAGCCAGTTATAATTCGAGAACCAGCTGTATTGAATGTTGCAGAATCTTTTTTCATTGTTCCACCTGTAAATATGTTGTGTCTATGCCATAGTTAAAATTATTCTTTTGCTTTGCTTTCTTCAGTGAATCTGTTTAGCTTTTCTTTCATTTGTGTGCACACTGCATACAAATCCAAAAAAACCTCTTGCCCGCATTTTACAATAGTGAGACAATAGATTACAGGTAATCCTCGACTTATGATCACAACTGAGCCCGAAATTTCTGCTGCTAAGCAAGACATTCGTTAAGTGAGTTTTGCCCCATTTTATTTCTTGCCACATTTGTTAAGCGAATTGCTGCACTTGTTAAGTTAGTAACATAGTTAAGCGAATCTGGCTTCCCCATTGATTTTGCTTGTCAGATGGTCACCAAAGGGGATCAGATGACCCCCTCCCTGAGGCACTGCAACTGTCATAAGTATGAGTCAGTTGTCAAGCCTCTGACTTTTGATCACATGAACATGGGGATGCTGCAATGGTCATAAGTGTGAAAAATGGTCATAAGTCACTTTTTTGAGTGCGTTGCAACTTTGAACGGTCACTAAATGAACTGTTGTAAGTCGAGGACTACCCGTCCTCATTCTGTAATGTAATTAAGTGCATTATGTCTGTAGTTTCCTTTTTATGCCAAATCCTATTCATATTTACCCACATAAGGAGCCTCGCTGCATTCTTAGATGCTGACTTTCAGTTAAGGCTGAAATTCTGACGATACTGATTGCCAAGTAATCTTTATCATACTTAATAGATCTTGCATATTTACAATGCATAGGAAAGCAAGCATACACACAATGCAAAGGAAAGCCTTTGACAATACCCAGCCAGATGCCACACAATTGTTCCCTATGGATTCCATATTTAAATGAGAAAGAAAAGGAGAAGATTGGGTATTTAATAGATGTGTGTAAATGATTTTATCCTTTGTTTTTATGAACCCCCGAAGGCGTTCTCATTTCACATATGCTTTTTTTCCTGAATGCTGTCTGCATTCATGTAATATTCAATATTAGCCTTGCAGTGAAGTATTTCAAAATCAGGCATATATTTATTCCAGTTTAATTGTTTGCATATACCGTAAATGCTGGCGTACAAGGCGACCCGGTGTATAAGACGACCCCCGTCTTTATAGCCGGGCCGCATTCCTAGAATGTCGTCTTATACGCCAAAAACTACCAGTATTTCCGGCGTATAAGACGACTTGGCGTATAAGACGATCCCCGTCTTTATAGCCGGGCCGCATTCCTAGAACGTCATCTTATACGCCGGAAACTACCAGTATTTCCGGCGTATAAGACGACCCCCATCTTTGGTGCCGATTTCAGCGCTCGCGGAAGTCGCCTTATACGCCGGCATTTACGGTAATCAGAATCAGGAAGAACATGGCAGTTTTTATCATACTTATATTTTAATTTCAAGTTTGCTTTCCGCTGCTTATTTATCGCCTTTACTTTTTAAAGGTACATCATAATTTGTTTCTTTTTCTTTCATGTGTTCTGCAAAATACATACCAGAGTTGTGTTAATTTTCATGTACATACAAATTACAGATGTTTGAAAATTTGGGTAAGCATATATGGTGTTATAAACTGGCTGTTTTATTTTGCAAATATACAATTATATTAAGTTGTGGAACCATCTTAAGAAGGTATATCCCTTAAAAGAAGCATCCAAATATTTTAAATTCTGGTTTTACATAATAATAGTCTAAGAGTTAATTGCCTGAGATGAATATTGCAGGACGGAAAGGAGAAGGGTAATACACTAGGTGCTTACTATGCAGAAAATTATTGCTATATAATTTGCAGCTCATCCATGTATGAATTTATATGCCTGCATGTAAAACTCCTTTAGAAAACTTATAATATTTTCCAACAGCTCCAACATACTCTGTGTTTTGGATATGATATTTGCTTTGTGATCCTGTATTATAGTTAACATTACTACATGTTGAATGTTATAGAGCAATTGGAAGTAACAATAGTCTTTTGCAGTATTATTTATGCATTTCCAAAATTTAAGTGAATATTTTACTGTACTTTTATAACTAAAATGGAAACATTACTTTTTAATCCAGAAAACTGAAAGTACACCACCACTACTAATATGAAATACATACCTACAAATAATGAATAAATCGACACATTAATAAAACTGTGACCAGGATTGATATTTTCTGTCATACAAAGAATTGTGCAGTCACTGCTATGCTGTGAAAATTATAACTGAGCTCAAAATAATAAAACAGTAAAATTCAATAATATTGACATTGTGCAATCTAATATATGATTAATTGTGCCACATTCATCATTTCTTGTTTCTTTAATTGTTCACTTGGAAAGCATAGTGGCCTATTTTTTTTAAAAAAACTTTTATTCTAAATGAAGATTTGAAATGATCTTGTAATACGTTAAAATAATGAAAACAAGGAGAAATATTATTCATGGATAAACTGTCAGATAATTTATCATATCCACAAAGTACATACATACTGTGACACACTTTACTTGATTCTTCGGAGTCTGATTTATCTGCAGAAGAAGAAATGAAAAAATAATAATCCCTTATTTCCTCATACAGTAGCTAACACTATATGATTAGAATGAAGAATTACATTTATTGAAATTAAGAGGTAAAATTCATCAGATTAAAAGTCTATTTGCATGTGCAAAAAAAAAAAAGAGTTCAGAGTGGCATTTCACTTATAAATAGCAAAAGTAGATGAAGATTTCTTTCTTAGCCAACTTTTGAAAAAGCTTCTGAATCAGTGGAACCCACAACAAAACAACAACTTTTGACTTATTTCATTCAGCTGAAAAGATGAATGAGGTGCCTGATCAATTCTTAACATTAACCAAGGACACATCCCTTGAAATGGAAAGCAGGCCAAAATCTCTGTTCTCCTATTATTTTGTTTCTGTTATTAGTGCTTCCCTTCAGAAAACCAGCTTTAAAATGAAAAGAGACTTTGAATCACTAAGACAATCAGAGGCCTGGAGACTAAAACATATGAATAACGGCTGCAGGACTTGGGTTTGGCTTCTAAAAAAAAGAAGAAACAGGGGTGACATGATATCAGTATTCCAGTATTTGAGAGGCTGCCACAAAGAAGAGGGGGGTCAAAATATTCTCCAGAGGACCAGAGACCAGGACAAGAAACAATGGTTGGAAACTGATCAGAGAGAGAAGCAACTTGGAATTAAAGAGAAACTTCCTAACAGTGAGGACAATTAACCAGTGGAACAGCTTACGCCCAGAAATCGTGGGCGCTCCATCACTGGAGATTTTTAAGAAGAGACTAGACTGTCACTTGTCTGAAATGATACAGGTTCTCCTGCTTGAGCAGGAGGCTGGACTAGAAGACCTCCAATGTTCCTTCCAGCTCTATTCTATTCTAGATAACCTAAATACAAGATGTGTTTGAAGCATGCTACTCATGTTTCCTAAGAAGGCTTGTAGAGGAAAATGTGGAGGGAAAAAGACCAGGGAGAGATGAAACTGTCAAAAATGTGCATTTTCCCATCTTAATTTAAATATATTTTCCATCTATTTACATTTTAAAAGGTCAGTATGAATTTTTGTATGCATATTCTTTGCTTTTCCCCTAACGTACATATACTAGTAAATATTTTTCTCTAATATTTGCATTTTAAGGTACTTTACTTAAGGACCAGCATCTCTTTAAAATATTCTAAATTAGCAAATGATCACAAAATTAATAAAGAAGAATATTTTTATGTGTATATATAGCCACTAGAATATGAACTGAGAGCAAATCCCATTCCTTATTAACACTGATGACGTTAACCTAGTTTGGGTAATGAAACATCTGCAAGAAAACATCCAAGCTCAGAGAGCACCAAGGACTTCTCATGGTAATAAAATTTGCAGAAATGGGAGAAAGGAAAGGCCATTGCATTAAGTTTATCTACTGGCCTAAAGGTGTAAATTATAACTGTTTACATATGGATTTCTTCTCTGTCTCTATGAGGAAGAGATCCATGTATAAACAATGCCCAGGTCCATGCCTTCTCATTGCCTCCAGCATGAAAGGTCTGAAAGAGAAGCTAATGAAAAAATGTAGAATCCCCTGCTGCAAATAGAAACCTTAACTTTATGGCTACTCTTCTTTGAAGGCATGAACAAGGCTTCAGATGCTACCTCTGGACCTTTTGGGGTTAATACTGCAGCTGATATCTTTTACCTACTGTATAACAAGTGGCAGCATTTCCCTGACTAAGAGTGATCTCAAGAAAGTAGGTAGTTGTTGGACCATATTAATACTTTCATGGAAGATAACCAGGAATTTCAAATTCTCAAACAGACTTGGAAGTTGAACAAATATCCCCATAAATAGGGCAATGGCAAACCAATTCAGTATTCCTGCCTACAAATATACTTGACCCAGAAATCGCTTCTGAATCAATGGAGTCTTTGCTTATATTTATCCTGCTTCCACAAACACTTTCAGCTGACAATTTGAGACAGTGTGTATATAAATGTCACAATGTGCAGCTCTAGAAAAGACTGAAGACAACTCAACTCTGTCATTGACTTCATGTGAAGGGTATGATCACGGGGCTGAGTTGGCTACATTTCTCTTCTCACTTTTCCCAGAGAAACAGTTGTTTTTATTGAGGGAGAGGCAGAAAGGAGACAAAGCAGAATGATGAAGGCAGGGTTGTAGCATCATGACACAAAGATCTGCCTGGTTTGTGTGGACATCGCGACAATGCATGATATTTTTTTTAAAAAGGGCAGAGATTGCAGCGTAACACTGTGATGTTCATCATTTTGATAAAAGCAGGAAGTCCCTGCAGATGTCCATGGGACAGAATCAGAAAGGTTAAAAAGAAACATGGGAATGAAACTACTCAAGTATTCCTTAAATTGGTGTTTCTCAACCTTGGCAATTTTGAGACATGTGGATTTCCCCAGTCAGCATGCTGGGAATTGAAGTCCACACATCTGAAAGTTGCCAAGGTTGAGAAACACTGCCTTAAGTACTTAGGAGTAAAAGAAAACATTAATAATTTCTACGTGTTTCTAGTGTTCAGCTTAAACATCTAAAGAGTCAGCTAATTTTGGACATGGACAAAGATATGTTTGCCCACATCACTAAGGCCATTTTCACAAGAGATACTACAATTTTACATTATTCTTCTATATTTAAAATCTAATAGCTTATTGTATGATAGCAAAAGAACTTTAATGATTTGATCCCCTCTAAGCTTGTCATTATCATTCCATGAAATATTTAAAGTAACATTTAAGGTAAGAGAAATAGTGCAAATTACAAACATGTCATGAATAAGCACATCAAAAATGTTGAAACTTTATTTTTTAATTCTCTCATACGTTTAGGTCTGTGTCATTTAGTTTGAATTATTTGATTTTATATTTATATTATATTGATTTTATATTTTTATATAATAAATATTAACTTTAATATTAACTTTAGATATTTATATCAAATCCAATCAAATTTATTATAGCCCCAAGGGCAGATACAAACAAAATATCTCATAATAGGAGCATTATATCTTTCTACATAACTGTATAATGGGAAAAAATAAGTATTGTAGAATAAAAAAAAAAAGAATTGTGCGACTTGGGAACTATTTTTTTTAGTCCTTGTCCAAAAGAAATTAAAAAGAAATCACATGACTTTAATACTTAATGCCTTAATATTTCTTCAAGATAAGATATATAAGGATCTAGCTAGAGTCCTTATACAGGGAACAATATAGTATCATATGGTTTAGAGTTTTTATTGCTTCATCTCCACATGAACATAACTGAAGATACATAGGACTGCTCTTAAAACATCCAAAAAGGACTGCTGAGGTCTACCCTTATGAAATTTCAAAACTGGAATAGATGATTACAGTAAATAGGAGGCTGGAACAAATGCTTTGGAAGCAAATGATAAATATTGGGATGTGACACCTTACTATTTGTTTGGAGATCTATGTCTCCAAACAAACAATATTCATTGCTTAAGGGCATTTGTAGCATTACCAAAACCTAAGAAGCACAGATTTTCCATAGAAAAGCCCAGCAATTGAATTTTACCTAGGACTTTTTAAAGGCATCATGATTTTAACTGGTAACTAAGTACTAATGGGGTCAAAACTATAGGACGCAAAATTAACTGTACCCAGAAGGAAAAAGAAGAAACTGTGCTGTAGCATTCAAAGAAACAATGCCTGATGTTGAAATTTATTTAAATTATTTATATATTCACTTTATATAAATCAGTGGTTCTCAACCTTTTTAATGCCGTGACCCCAACCGGTTGTAAGTCAAGGACTACCCAACCAGTCGTAAGCTGAGGACTACCCAACCAGTTGTAAGTCGAGGACTTTCCCTGCCCGGGAGCGCCACGCATGCGTGGTGCCGTCCCCTGCACCGGCCGAGGCGTAGCTGGCAAGCGGCAGAGATGGAGCAGGCTGACCATCGGCTGGGCCACCAGCTGGCCCAGCCCAAGGGAGGTAAAGCACCCGCCAGGACCCATGCACGCCAGCAACCCTCCCTGTGCCTGCCGGCCTCCCATCTTCCACCCCTGGCCCTCTTTTACTTACATTTTTAGTAGTTGCTCAGCAGGGAGGGGTGGAAACTTCCAGACAGCTCGCCTTCACTGCAGACAACTTGCAGCACCATTTGCAGAATGGGACTTTTGGCGGGCTCAGCAGGGCAGAGACAGCCTGGACAATTCCTATTGGCTTTTGAAAGCCAATAGAATTAGACTCTATTCAAGAGAGTCTATTCTATTGGTTTTCAAAAGCCAATAGTATAAAAGGGAGTAGCACAGCTAAGGAAAAGGGGAAAAAATGGCGGACTGCGTCGTTTGGCGACCCCCATGAAATGGTCGTTCGACCCCAAATGGGGTCCCGGCCCACAGGTTGAGAACCACTGATATAAATCTTCATTTTATACAGAGTTTTCCTTTATATCAATTCTGTAACTTTTTCTATATTAAAACTTGTATGCTGATCTGGCCATTTAAATGGAAACATGCTGAAGTCCACATTCTATACCAGACATGTCAAACACAAGGCTGGTTTCATGTGGCCCACGAAGCCATCCTGGAAATAGTGAGGGAACAGCCCCTGCTGCCTTGGCTCTGGCCCAGGCCAGCCGGGAGCCAATGTACAGTTTTGTGGTGGCCATCTATGCTGAAACATATTCAGTCTTAGCTCCACAAGGCTGTCTGGAAACAGCTTGATGCTGCAGGTGCTCGAGGGCCAGGCTGGGCATTAGACCTCTGCTGCCCAGGGCTCCAGGCAGCCCACACTACCATCCAACCCCCCCTGCATGGCCTGAGAGGAACAGTGAGGCTCCTCCAATGGACCATGCATTGGCACTTGCCCTGGTCCCACCCCCTTCTGCCAGAGACCCTCAGATCTGTCCCACTCCTGCCCAGGCCTCGACAGGCACCCTTGACACAAATGATGTAGAGCTGGCTACACCCACCTATGACCACCCAGTAGGCCACACTCACCCTGGCCCCACCCCACCCCCCGAGGGCAAGCACAATGCTGATGTGGCCCTCAATGAAATTGAGTTTGACACCCCTGTTCTATTCCTACATTTGCCTCACAGTACAGTAGTCCTTGACTTATGACTATTACTGGAAATAGAATTTTCATTGCTAAGCAAAGTGATTATTAAGTAAGTCGGGCCCAATTTTATGACCTTCCCCCATTGATTTTGCTTGTTGGAAGGCATCTGGAAAAATTGTTACTTCAAATGGCCATTAAATAAATGGCTGGTAATCAAGAACTACCTCTATGCAATGCAATGTCTTTAAAGATCCACAAAAATGGTCAGGTATTGTTAAAACATAAAGAATAATGCCTAGCCCATAGAATGTTCATCTCCACTTAAAGCCTTTATGCCACAAATCAAGCCAGTTAAAATAATTTAGGCCAAAAAGATGACATGTCTAAATAAATTGTTACATTTTGTCTCTGCGTTTGGATATATACAAACTGAATTCTGTCAGAATGATGTTTCCCAGACAGGTTGAAAAGACTACTCACCAAGATAGTTAAAAGAGACAAATTCAAGGTTGTCCATTTCTTGAAATATGAAATGTGTATATTTTAAAACAGCTCTGACACTTGCTTTAGAACATATCAGCTTCACTGAGTTTCTTTTTTTTACCTTGTTCTGCTGCCTTGCTAGGTCTTTCTTCTTTCTTTTTGTGTAATGCTGCAAAGCAAAGATAAGGGATATGTAACATAGCTAGTCTCAAAGAGAATGGCTTATGCAAACAAGGCCTTGTGAAAAAGCATTAAATCTCTGCTGCTTATTTGAAGTGACATTTTTACATATTGATTAGATCATAACAGATAATTTAAAATTATGCAATAACATTATATTTGTGTCTCCTAAACAATCTACATGTAATTATAATCTTGTAGAATGACAAAGCGAAAAAGAACATGATACAGGTAGTCTTCAATTTCTGACCATAATTGAGCCCAGAATTATAGTCATAAATCATGCTGATTGTTAAGTGGGTCATCACCTGACCATGAACAATTTTACAATTTTTTTTGTGGCGGTCCTTAAGCAAATCCATTGTCTGCAATTTTTTGCTGGAAACCCGAAATAAATGCCACTTTCCAGCAAAAAAAAATATTGTAAATCATGGCCATATGACTGCCAGATGCTGCAAACTGCCATAAATATGGCCTGGTTACAAAGAACCCAAAATGTGGTCACATGACTGTGGGAGCTCCAGCTACCAGAACTTAGAAACTGGGTTGTAAGTAGTCCTACCATTAAAATAATATAAAATCCTATAGTAAGTTGATCAACTGGAATACATTTATCTGGATGTCTATCCTAGTTAGTTAGTGGGAAAAAGCATAGTGCAGTGGTGGCGAACCTATGGCACGCATGCCAGAGGTGGCACTCGGAGCCCTCTCTGTGGGCACACATGCCGTTGTCCCAGCCTCACCTTCCCCCATGACCCCTCCTCACCAGCAGCCCCTCTGGAAGAGAGTCACCCTGAGTGTGGCCCACACGGACCAGTGCAGCCAAAGACATGGCAGCCAGGCTGCATAGACAAGATTTTGCCCTCATGTCCATTCCGCACAGTTAATGCTGTGGGGCGTGGGCAGAGGGCGTGGCCACCATGGCGCTGCTGGGCTGCCTGGGCAATCTGTGGTGGGCCCTGGAGATGGTGAGTGGCCCTGCGGGAAGATGGGGTGGGGGCGGGGCAGGGGAGGGGAGGGGGTGGAGCTGGGTGGAGCCAGTTTTTGGGCACTTGGTCTCTAAAAGGTTCGCCATCACTGGCATAGTGTATCAAAGATGAAAGGTACCTAGATTGAGAAGTTATCTTCCTTGAAATGGCTGTGAGAAATAAACTAGAAGCATCTATTGCTATTCTTAATTGTATTTGGCTTGCTACCCAAATCCTAAACTACCCACAGTTTTACCTATCGATTGTTAACCATGGCATGTCTGATTTAATGATATTGTAAGGTGAAGTTTCATCTTATATATAAACAAATAATTTTTTAAATTCCCCTGTAAAGGAGAAGAATGTGCAGCTCCTGAAGAAAGCTTCTGCAGATTTAGGATACAGGCACTCGACTACTTCAAAGTCATCAAATTCAATATTCAACTCATTTTGAAGCAGGAATCTTGTCCCAGCACTCGTCTTCCTCCCAGTATTTGACATGCAAGGTCAGCTGCCTTGTGACTTGCTATTTCCTCTGGCCAAAATAGTGGGTCACGTGGTAAGTCACATGGTTTTCCGATACTTGTCAGTTTTAATATTTGTCATGTCTTCTGGAACAGATACCAAGATACCACTAACTGATACAAAGGTACCACTGTATAAGCTAATTGAAGCACAGATTGAATAGAAGACAAATCATGTTGCTTAAGGCACCAGGCTAGAAATTAGGAGACTGTGACTTCTAGTCCCACCTTAATCATGAAAGCCAGCTGGGTGACCAGTCACTCTCTCTCAGCTTCACCCCCCACCCTCACAGGGATGTTTTTGAGGGGAAAATAAGAGGAGGAAGGAGTATTATATATGTTCTCTGCCTTGATATATTTATAAAAATAATAAAGGCAGGGTATAGATAAATAATTAAGTATGTTTTGAATTCCAAGGTCATAATAGGTCTAAGCCATAGTCTTTTTTCAAAAAAGGAACCACAAATTATGTTAATTTATCATTTATATAAAAAAGAAAAGCTCTTTTAAAAAAGGAGTCACCTGTGTGTGAGTTAGGGACCTATACAAATTTATAATAAATAAATAAAATAAAACTAACATTTTGTTAGTTTTAATTCAAGTGATTAAAACACTTTTAATAAAAAAGTGGTAACGACTAACTGTTACTGTGTGAAAGAGAAGTGTACGATCTCCTGAGACATTACAAACCCAGCTCTCAGAATTATTGAACTGAATGAAGGCCTTTACAACTCATCTCTGAAAACTAGCTAGGGATCAGGCTGCAAAGCATTCTCTATATAAGTACATAAATTTTAAAAAAGGAAATAATATTCCTGACCTTTTGGCTTATGAGTTCCTCCAGCAGCTGCAAATAAAGTAAGAAAATATTCTGAACACTATACAGAACCTCAAAATTCTTACAACAAACATTTATTTCTATATATTACCACAGATATCCCAAGTGGTAGCTGCCCAATCTAAAAACAGCACAAAAGCTTTAAAAGCCTAAGAAATAACAAAATCCTCATGAGAAATCCAATATGTAGCCATGTAGAAAGAAGCAATATTTTCAATTATTTTGAAAAAGCAACTAAGGATGAATCTGGTAGGAGAGGAGAAAGATGTTTTTGAATCAGTGATCCCCTTGGTGTAAAACAAAAACAAACACATTTCGGTTATTTCATAGTATTCTTTTCTTTCCCGAAGAAGATTGAAAAATGTTTTTAAGATTTTCCAGAAAGACCCTAACAAAAGTGGATTCTCCCAACAGAACTTGATCTAATTACTTGAAGAATGTTGGAGCACAAGGAAATACATAATGAGCATTCTAAAAAGAAGAACTGATAACATGTTTTCCTGAAACCCCAGAGCAGCACTATTACTGTAGACAGAACAATTGCCTGGCTCCACATGGGGTAGCTGCATCCATCATCATGAGATGGTTTAAGATGGCACAGTTTTGAAATATACATGGATATTTGAGTTTATTGATAACTACAAGACATAAAAATAGTATTTATGGAAACGTTGTTGTTACATGGTATTCTCACAGCTTCTGCCATGCCTGAAAAGTGTTTACAGCTCCCAGCGGCAGTACCAATGAATGGTTAAAGTGGGCAGAAATGGAAGTCTTCCAGAATTAGACCTGGCATCCGTCTTTATATTTTTCAGCATTTGGCCGGTGATCAAATGCATGCATTGCCTTCTTCTTGCCTAGAGAAGTTAAGTGGCAGCATAAACTTTTCTTACATGCTAAAACTTTTTTGTTGGATTAGGATTGAATAGTAGATTCAGTGCTTCAAAAATGCAGAGGCTTTTCTGTCATCTTGATTAAAAATGACTTCTTCCCCAATGATGAATATGCCAAAAACAAAAGCACCATTCATTCCCAAGGGGGGGGGGGTTACAAGTAGTCCTTGATTTATGAATGTTTGTTCAGAGACCATCTGAAATTATGATAGCACTGAACAAAGAGATTATAACCTGTATCTGAATTTACAGCTGCTGTAGGTCCCTGTGGTCCTGTGAACAAAATTCTGGCACTTGGCAATCTGCCTGCCCTTACAATCAACTGTAGGAATGCTAGAGAGACCCTCACTTGTCTATTTTCCCCCAATCCTGCCCTGCTGGGTCCTTTGGGCTTACCTCCCAAATGGCTGGGTCTTCACAGGCCTTGGGCCTCCTCCACTCTACCGTCATGCCTCACTTTACTTACTTTTTCTGAAGATCACCTTTGGGAAGAAGAACCAGTCAATCTGCCATGTGGCTTTCCTATACAGAGGCCATATGTTGCTGTCCTGAGAGTGGGAAGCATTTTGGGAGTGGTCACAATTTGGGTCACTCCAGAATGGCACAAAATGAGCCTCTGCCACTCTCAAAAAGGTGCCCACTTGTGGGGCGGCACCACACCGTCTCTGTATAGGAAGGCCATGAGGCAGATCGGCCAGTTCTTTTTCCCAAAGGTGATCTCCAAGATCCAATATGTGATAAAGTATTCAAATAGGAGCCGAGGTGGCACAGCAGTTAGAGTGCAGTACTGCAGGCCACTTCAGCTGACTGTGTTCAGCAGGTCAGCGGTTCAAATCTCACCGGCTCAAGGTTGACTCAGCCTTCCATCCTTCCGGGGTAGATAAAATGAGGACCCAGATTGTTGGGGGCAATGTAAATATATATACATTGCTTACTGGTGTACACCGCTTAGAGAGTGCTTGCTCTTAAAGCGGTATATAAGTCTCATAAATAAATAAATAAATACTTAGTCTTTGCTTAGTATACAGATCATCCACATATTTTTGATGCACGACAATAAAGCACTACTATAAAATATAGCAACACTTTGAAAAAAGTATTTGGAAAACACCCTGATATTTATTTTAATGATAAAGGAATTGCATCCCCAGAGCAGTTTACACATTCCATATATGGGAACAGAATTACTAATAAAATAGTATGTTGTGTTATGCATTTCCATCCACTTATATGAAATTGAGAAATGTTTGCCTCAGCAGGACAATGCAATAACAGTTATGCTTCTGGAATTGATGATGTTATCATGTCTATAGTAGTATTCATGAGCAAAGTTCTTCCTCCCTCCAACCTACTGAGATACAATCATATCTTGCAGCATCAAAAAAAAAAGTTCTCCTTCTGTCAAGGGTGTGTCTCACACACACACACACACACACACACAAATTGAACAAAAGGTAAATGTTTCATTTCAAAATGGCTCATTAAAATTGGAGAGAGTTAAGATACTCAGTACATCAAATATCATATTTGCATTTGCATAGTTTGCCTGAAAAATAATAAGTTTTATAAAAGTTAATTTGCTAGAACTACTCTGGCTGAAGAATACTAGATTGCCAGACACACATAAAAAAACTAGTGAATTTTTTTACATGGATATACAATGTAATTTCAGAGATATCCTGCAGGGAGCAGAATATAATCTGTTATCCAAGTCACCTTTTAAAAATTTAACTTTTCACTCATCTGTTAAATGACATGCTGATTTCCACAGGCTTGCCTTAATGTATACTGGGTGTTAAAAGTAAAAAAGTGCCATTTCCTGAGTTTATTTTTACAAAGGACTTGCCAGCTTTATTTACATGCACATCCTCCTTTGGCTAAAATAAAAACAGCGAAACATTTTTGTTATTGTAAATGTTGAACCTGGATAATCAATATCTTTATCAAAAACCATATGTTTCAGGGAAGGATAAGAAAATAAAAACATTTTCACCTGTTTCCACTGGCTTTCCTTTCTTAAGCAATTCTGGAAGAGGAAAACCAGAGCATTATTTCTCTATTTGAATGCCCATAGTTCCCTCTCGGTCCCTTGGGGTTACCTGCTGCTGCTATCAGATGTAGTAGCAAAGGCAGGGTAACAGAAATGGCCATGGAAGAAAGATAACCAGGCAGGGAAAGGATCTGGACTTGGCTGGAAGGCTTCATGTGACTCAGAGGGCCAGGCTGGCAGAGGAGGAGAATTATGAAGTGGATGAGGAAAGAGAAGTTAAGGTGGCATGATGAGCGGTGCCATCAGCTGTGCAGTGTCTATTAGGTTTTGCAGGGCTTATTGGTGGGAACAGCAACCTTGGGAAGGACCAGTTGTGGTCTTTCACAAATTCCAGATCCTCTTAAACTGACCCTACTCTCCCCCCACCAAAGGAAACACAAGGTGCAAACGGAAGGATTTCATCTCCTTGATAGTCACAATTCATGATGGATGGGAGTGGATGGTTCGGTCCATTTGTGGAATAATGAAACCCAGTGGCTTGCCATAATTAGACAATCTATCTCTAGGTAATGCAGAATGATAATGGAAGAGGTCTATTTCTGTTTTCTGATGGAAAAGGTTAGGGTCTGGCTAGATCAGTGATGGCAAACCTTTTAGAGGCCGAGTGCCCAAACTCAACCCAAAACCCACTTATGTATCGTCGGGTGCTGGATGGGCGTGGCCCATTGGGTGGGCATGGCTTCAGTGGTAATGGCAGACTGGGTGGGACTAAAAAGTTCAATCAATCAAATCCAACTTTGGGAGAAGTTGAAATTGATTGATTGATTGAACCTTTTTTTTTTTGTACATGGTGGCGGAGGCCTAAAGCGAAAAGATTTTATAAAACCCAGCTGAAGGCCTAGGACTGGGGCGATGGTGCATGTGCCCACAGAGAGGGCTCTGCGTGCCACCTGTGGTACGCGTACCATAGGTTCACCACCACAGGGCTAGATTGCCTGGAGCAAGTTCACCATTTCTCATTTGCAAGCTCACTCTGAGAGGACCCTTAAGTGAAAATATATCCTCTACAAACAGTAAATATACTATCTTGAATCCATAGCAATGGGGCTGTATGGATGAGGCCACCGTGTTCAAAATGTATACTACGTTACATGCCCTTAATTTTATTTCACTTAAAAGTAAGTGCTCAAAAGTGGAAAATGCAAATTCATATATATGTGTTTTTGCCCAGATCCTACCAGATTCCTTTATATGCTCATCCTTCTTAGGCGTCTTGGCTAAAAAAATAATTAAGTATTTTGGTTATAATACATTTTATACAGAGATAATATTCTTATCATAAATATTTGTTTCAGGAAGCAAAATTTATAAAATAAAAGAGTGCTTACCTATTTGTATTGATTTTTCTTTCTTATCTGGTTCTATAAAGTGAGAGAAAGACCTGAAGATGATGATTCTAGATAACTCATTGTGGGCATTTTTACTTTTTTATTTTGCTAAGATCTTACCAGATTCTTTTACACAAATATCCTTCTTTGGCAGCTTGGCTAAAATTAAATAATACAAATTTGGGGTTATTATAAACTTTAAACAGGGAACTAAAAATAGGACATGGATAGCATACTTACCTATTTCTATTGGCCTTTCCTTCTTGTGTGTTTCTAGAAAACAAGAGACAACAAAATGATTTTTCATTGAATGATTCTTTCTACATGTGATGGTTTATTTTCAGCAATTAACTACTCTTATGAAACACTCATTTCTGTAATCTTTTCCTAATTTTCAAGATGAAAAGTGCAATTTCCCAAATTTATTCTTTCTGAAGTCTTACCAGGTTTGCTTGCTTGCACAGCCTTCTTGGATAGCTTGGCTAAAATAAAAAGATTTAAATAGATTAATTATTGTAAATGCTAAATATGGATTCTAAATATGCATAACACGTCTTTCAGGTAAGGTTATTTCAGGAAAATAAGAGCATGCTTACCTATTTCAATTGGCTTTTCTTTCTTGTCTGCCTCTAAAAAGTAAGAGGAAGGCCAAAAATATGAATTCCGTATTTGGGTATTCAAAATAAATAGTGTATAATTTAATACATAACAGAGAAGCAAATGATGGACTGAGGGTACTTAGAGACAAAGAAATTTAATTCCCCAATTGAAACTAAATTGGGATTGAAGGGACTGCTCTGACTAGATAACTCAAGTACTTTATTATCTATTCATTCAAAGATTTTCCCACTGGTGCAAAAACAGTGGTTGCCTCTGCTCCTACTTTTGCTACTGTCAAATATGACAGTAAAGCTTTCCCATAATGAGAGATTTAAGAGAAATGAGTTTTGGGGGAAGAAGAATAAGTATAAGGAAGGGTCCACACTTGGCTAGGATGTGGGAAGGAAACAGGCAAAGAAGAAATAAAAGGTGGGTCATGGAAAAGAGGTTCAGGAGAGGTCGTGCAGTGTCTAATCAAGACTGCCATGGAGGTAATAGACAGAAATAATGAATGTAGGGATTATTCACTAGTGTTGGTGATTTATGAGTTCAATATTCCAAACAAAGCCTACCAGCTAGACAGAAGCAAGGACAATCTCCAAATAGGAGAGATCTAGTTTTCTAGTAGCCACAGTTACAATGACATTAGATTCACAAAAACTCATGGTCCAATGATTTGGTCCTGTTGTGGGATAACTGAAATCCAACTGTTTGCCTCCTGAGATCACTTGTAAGAATTCCAGCCTGCCTCAGCAGCAAGCAAACATGAAGCACCTCATGTGAACACATATCTTCAAGCAACAGCAAGCAAATTATGTTGGAGCAGAGCAAGGAATGAGTGTTAAGAGACCAAGAGTGGACAGAAAGCACTCAATTATCCATCCTCATCATTTGATTTCTTCAAAGCAAAAACATCTCAATAATATTGTGTTAACTGATGGGAAATGCAAATTGGTAGATTTGTTTTTATCCAAAACTTACCAGATTCTTTTCCATGGATATTCTTCTTTAGCAGTTTGGCTAAAATAAAAGTACATACATACTGAGTTATTGTAAATGTTGGACAACTCTACCATATCATTTGCTTCAGGAAAATAAAGAAGGTACAAGACAACATACTTACCTATTTCTATTGGCTTTTCTTTCTTATGTGTTACTAGAAAATAAGAAGAAAATCAGAATATGATTTCTGCATTTCAGAGTACAAAATAGATATAATCCCATACATTAAACATGTTAAAATCATAGAGTGAGATCACTTTAGTGATCTGACTTAATTCCATAATTAAAAGAAAGCAGAGTTGAGAAGACCCTTCTGGTTAGATAGGTTTTTTGTTAATTTTCAAAATGGGAAGTTGAATTTCTCAGGTTTTCCCCCCTGAGGCCTTACCCGTTTGGTTTGCATACACAGCTTTCTTTTGCAGCTTGGCTAAAATGAAAAGGGATAAATATATTGATTATTATAAATGTTGAATTTGGTAATGAGTTTTTGAAACAAATCTTTCAGGAAAGCATAGGTGGGAAAATAGGAGCATGCTTACCTGTTTCTATTGGTTTTTCTTTCTTTTTTGCCTCTAGAAAGTAAGAAGAGGGCCAGAAAATTACTTCTACATTTGGTTGTTTATAGCAAGCAGTAGGTGACATTCTACACAGAATTATATCATAGACTAAAATCCCTTCAAGTTAAGAGAGTCTTTTATTTTGACTGTTAAAATGAAGCATAGACTGAGTGGAATCTTTTGACTAGAAAACCCAAGGCGGGCAGAATGAGATTTATTATCCAATTTCCAATTTTAATTCAGTATAATTCACTAGTTTTATAGCACATTCATTTCCACAGCATGTGTTTACACAGTAATTGTCCAGAATGGAAAATGGGATTTTCTAGACATAATTTTACATAGCATTTACCAGTTTTATTTACATGCACATCTTTCTTTGACACTTTGGCTAAAAAAAAATCAAACATTTTGACTATAACATAGATTGAACACAGATAATCAATATCCATTTAATGCTGATGTGTTTCAGAGGTGACACAATAAAGGAAAGCTTACCCATTTCTCTTGGCTTCTCTTTCTTGTGGAGTTCTAGAAAGTAAGAGGAAAACCAGTCAATGATGTCAACATTTGGGAGTTGGGAGGGAAAGTTTCTGCCCCTGGCACAAAGACAATTGTTTGTTCCTTCTATGCTGCCAATTAAAGGAAATGGCAGCAGAGGGAAGAGGAACAGAAGGATGGAAAGGAGCTATTTTATTTACCTTCTTAGTTATTTTTTTTTAATTGCACATTCATTCCCATAACCTTGTGTTATGCTATATACTAAATGTTCAAAGTAATTTCTACTTACTCATGTCTTACTGGATCCTTTAACATGCATACCCTTCTTTGGCAGCTTGGTTAAAATAAATGCTTTTAAATATTGGTATATTATAAAGTTTGAAGAGCATATTACATCAATATGTTTCAGAGAAGCAGAGGGGAAAGAATAAGAACAGTTAACTGTTTCTAGAAAATCAGAGACCAGAACATTATGGAGTGTTTTATAGTTAAATAAGACAGTTACAATAAATGTTCAAAGTGAAACATGTAATTTCATGCATATGTTTTTACCCAGGTCTTACCAGATTCTTTTACATGAATATCCTTCTTTGGCAGCTTGGCTAAAATAAAAAGATTAAGCATTTTAATTATGATAAAATTTGGAACCTAGGTTACCCATATCCATGTGTTTCTGGGAAGCAAAGATTAAACACAGATGCACACTTACCCGTTCCTGCCAACTTTCCTTTCTTGTGTGATTCTAAAAAGGAAGAGGAAGACAAGAACATAATTTCTGTATTTTAGTGTTCATTGCATAGTGTGGGATTATTCAATATATTACAAACATTTGGGGCACTGATGTAAAAAAAGAGGTTACTTATTTTGCATAAATACAGTAGTTACCTCCTCTTCCTGTTCTGCTGCTCTCAGATATGATAGTACAGTTCTCCCATGAGCAGAGATTTAAGAGAATTGGCTTTAAGGGAAGAGGACTAAGTATAAAGAAGGGTCCATACTTGGCTTAGTTGTGAGAAGGATACAGGCAAAGAGGAAGGAAAAGGTAAAAAAGGAAGAAAGGCTCAGATCAACAGGAGGGGGAGGTCATGCAATGTCTTGCTAAAGCTGCCATGGAGGTTATAGATAGGAATAATAAACTTAGGGAAAACCCAATTATTGATTATTAATGAGTTCAATATTTCAAATAAGGCCTACCAGCCATACAGAAGCAAGGCCAACCTCCAAACAGGAGATACCAGTTTTCTAGCAGCCACAGTTAAAATGACATTGGATTCACAAGAATTCATGGCCAAATGGGATGGTTTGATCTTCTTGAGAGATAACTGGAATATAGCACTTCATCAACTCTAGAGACTGCTTTGGGCAACTCAGTCATATAGGAGGTCTGCTTTTGTTTTCTGATGAAAAATATCACATTATGGGTGGATCTCCTGGAAAAATTCCAGCAGCAAACAAACCCTAAGCTGAAGCATCTCATGTGAGGACATATCTTCAAGCAATGGTAAGCAAATGATCTTGAAGCAGGGTAAGGGATGAATGCTAGGAAGCCAAGAATGGGCAGAAGGCACTCTATTATCCCTCTTTGAGCTGTGATGGTGCAGTGGTTAGAGGCAGTACTGCAGGCTACTTCTGCTGACTCCGGCTGCAGTTTGGCAGTTCGAGTCTCACAGGCTCAAGGTTGACTCAGCCTTCCATCCTTCCCAGGCCAGTAAAATGAGGACCCAGATTGTTGGGGGGCAATGTGCTGACTCTATAAACCACTTAGAGAGGGTTGTGAAATGGTATATAAATCTAAGTCTATTGCTATTGCTATTATCCATCCTCATCATTTGATTTCTTCAGTCAGGCACATTTTCAAGGCAAACTCCTGTTGATAATCTTGGGTTAATTTATACAAGGAATTGAAGGTTATAAGTATGTGCTAGAATGGTTTTACTCAGCCCTTACCAGTTTCTTTTAAGTGCACATCACTCTTTAGCAGCTTGGATATAATAAAGGGATATAAATACTAAGTTATTATAAACATTAACAACTTGTTTATACTACATGAATAGACTACATTTTACATGGATATTCTTCTTTAGCAGTATGGCTAAAATAAAAGTATATACGTACTGAGTTATTATAAATGTTGGATAACTCATATCGTTTGCTTCAGGGAAGTAAAGGAGGTACAATGACAACATACTTACCAGTTTCTATTGGCTTTTCTTTCTTATGTGTTTCTAGAAAATAAGTGGACGATCATACTATGATTTCTGTATTTCCGGGTACAAAATAAAAGTAGGGGGTGTGCGTATAATTCCATACATTAAATAGATTAAAATCATAGAGATTATTTTAAGTCAGCAAATCTTTTTAATCCATATTTAAAACAACAGGTAGAAAATGAACTTCTGGCCAGATAATCTCATTGGACAGAACATAGTCTCCTATCTATGTTTGATGTTTTATTTCACTTTACTTATGGAACACTAATTTCTGTAGTTTTAATTAATTTTTGAGGGTATAAAATGGAATACTCCATATTTATTTTTTTCACAGATCTTACCAGTTTTGTTTGCATACACAGCCTTCTTTGGCAGCTTGGCTAAAATGAAAAGATGATTATAAATGTTGAAACTGGATAATCAGTACCTTTAACACATCTTTTAGGTAAGCATAGGTGGGAAAATAAGACTATGCTTACCTGTTTCTATTGGTTTTTCTTTCTTGTCTACTTCTAGAAAGTAAGAGAGAAACCATGATTTTGGCATTCAAATTTTCAAAATAAACAGTTTATAATTTAATACTTAATAAAGAATCAAGTTATAGACTGAGAGCACTTTAATTCCACAAACAAAACTAATCTGGGATTGAATAGATTCTGGATTCAGTTGGCAGAATGCACTTTATTATGTTTGCTTATTTGTTTGTGTGTTTTTCTTCTTAAGGTTTATATATCTTCTAAATCATGGGTGTCAATATGCATCGCATGACGTATTGTGACTTATCATGACTTTTTTTTGCCTTTACAGAGCCCTGTTCTAAATCGAGAATATGACTGAACAGTTTCCATCTCTTCTTCCAGTAATAGGACTAAAATACTGTGCCTTCATGTTTTCATGATAGTGCTTCTCTGCCAGCAATCAAGGAAATATTTTTTCTAGATCCCCCACAATCTGGCTCCAATACCAAGGTTCATTGTGAGGATATCTCCTTAAGAAGGGACAAGCACTTCCAGTTACGGTTCGCGGCATATGCAGCTGTGCGAAGAGACTCCTCTCTTTGCCGGCTGCTTTCCCTCTGCCAGTAGACCCTTAATCGGGTCGAAAGGTCACCCTGGAAAGGCGACTACCGTTGAGGAGGCCCTCATCGACTGTGGAAGGGTGGCAGCTCCTTCTGCGGTCCGAGATTGCTCCTTAGGGCCGACAGAGAAAAGATCGGCCAGTAAAATGGCCGATCACTTTGCTGCAGTAACCAAAAGTCAGAAGAACATCTAAGCATAAAGAACCACTGTGGTTGATCTGGGTGAGACTTTTTTCCCCCTCTCTTAGCCCTTTTCTCTTTTTTGTTTCCTGTAAAAAGCATGGAATTATTTCCCTTCTTTGAGAGAGCAGCATCTGTCTGTGTGGGAAGAGAAGCTTAGAAAACGGAATGAACATTAATTTTAATTGACTATTTTTTATTTCTATTTAGTTTGGGGTCTTGAAAAATTCTTATTATTGAATTTTATTACTGGATTTAGTTTATATGTGAAGAATATTATTTTTTCCTGATTTTGTCAACATCATTTTTGGTGTCTGGGAAGAGATTTTATAGTATACTGAGGACACCCTGTGGAGAAATTTAAAATTGCAACCTTTTTTTTTTTGTTTGATACTGAGGTTGGTTTTGACCTTCAGATCATCTTAAAAGGAAAAAGACAAAGAAATTCAACAGTTGTTAAATCCATGGAGGTGGACAATGGCTGAATGTTATTAAACATAGCCTCCACTAAAAGATAACAGGACTATCACGGGGAATAAAGAGAGATTTATTTGTTGATATAAAGGCTCTGTTATGGAAACCTGCTTGGCACAAATAGAAAGCTAGAATAAGACTTAAGAGTGTGACCTAAAATTGTATGCAATGTGTTAAAAAGGCTTTTTAGACACAGATTGACTTAAGGTTCAAGATTGATAAATAAGGCATTCGAGATCTTGATTGAATAAAGATTAATTAAATATGTGAACTTAGTAAGAAGATGTCTTTTCTGTATTAATATGTTTTTTGGATATAACAATTATTTGGATTGGATTTAAATTTTACTGAGTGAGTTAAAAGAGTTTTACATAGATATTGATAGATAGATAGATTATAGATTTAAAATAGATTAGAAATATATTTTTTGGAGTAATATTCTTGTTTTAGGAAGGATAGCTATTTTGTAATGGAAGGAGAATAAGAGGGATTTTTGATAAAAGAAGAAATGATATTAATAAATGAGTTACTAGATTAAAAAATAGAATACTTGTAGAAAATACAAGAATGTTATGGTTGAAATAATATGTGTATTTTAGAGATAAGGATTATGTTAAGGAAAAAGGGAAAGGAGGGACACCAAATTGGAATATGGTAATTGTAAATAGTAAAGGTTAAAACAGGATTTGGATTTATATAGATGAAATGTTATTGATGACTGTTCTGATTGATTGAATTTTTATTGAAAAAATATATTAATTTGAATATATTATATTATTTGAGGGAAATAGAGAGGGAGTTTTTAATGATTTGATCTGAGTTATATATGTATGATTTTGTTTTTGGATAATTGATTACCCTGTCACCACGTTGTTTCTCAAGCACCTTGTTGTAAAAATAAAAAATCAATAAAAGTTGTTTTTTAAAAAAAGGGATAAGCAGACTGTTTTAAAGTCAAAGAAACAGGACTGTGTGTGGATGAGGCCTAGGTAACCCACAATTTGAAGAATATAGCATTTTATTCGTATTTTGTGCTTTATTTTACTAGGTAGTCACTTAGAATGTGTAACTTCCATTCCAGAGTCTTCTGTTAATTTATACTAAGCGTTCAAAGGGAACAGTGCCATTTCTGAGATACTTTTTTACCAAGTCTTACCAGATTTCTTTACATGCACATGTTTCTTTGGCACTTTGGCTAAAAGAAGAAGATATAAAGATTTCAGTTATTCTATGTTTTGAACATATATAATTCATATCCATGTCCAACATCATGTTTTGCGGTTGTAAAAGAAAGAAAATATTAACATACTGACCTATTTCTATTTGCTTTTCTTTTTTGTGTGATTCTAAGAAGTAGGAAGAACAAAACATGATTCTCCATCAGATTCTTTACAGCAAAGAGTATGTTTATTCCATATATTACAAAGAATGAAATGAAAGACCAAGATCACAGACATACAACAATTCCACAATTCATCAATTAAAATAAAACTGGGATTGAAACACCCTCCCTCGTTCCATCTCCAATTTACAGTGACTAAGCTACCTCTTTCCATAGGAATGAAATGCAGTACATTCTTCATATATAAGACACAAAAGAACCAGAAATAATCCAAAATTGCCAACCTTTCTTTTGGCCAACCACAAACTACTCATCCACCCCCAAAGTCTGTCCAGAAGAGCCACTTTTTAACAACTTTCCAGAATTGCAGCAAGGTGGAGGCCAATTTCATCTCTGGCGCCTCTGCTTAAAGGAGAGAGAGCAACAAGGTGCTTTGAAAGCAATTTTCTCCATGGGTTGAAGAATGGGCAGATTCCAACTGGTGAAGGCTATCTTACAGATGCATGGATTTATTTTATTTCTTAGATTTATATTTCACATTTTCTTCCTATGGAATGCATAGTGTCCATTCCTCCCATTTCTGCCATAGCGACAGCCCTATTCCCTTGACTGGATTGAAAGAAATTGACTGAAACTCCCCCATGGTTTTTATAGCTAAATGTGCATCTCTCCGATGCCAGCCCAATTATACCATAACCATTATATTCTTTCCTTCTGCCATTTTATTTCACTGGTTATTCACTTGTCACATCTTACACATGTCCATAGTCTTCTGTTGATTTATACAGTGTTTAAACTTTTTTTTTTTTTTTTAATCAGATCTTACCAGATTCCCGAATAAGGATATCCTTTTTGGGCTGGGGTGCTGAAAAACAAAGATATTGGGTTTGCATGTATTCTGGGCAGTTCTATCAATATATTTCAGGGAAGCCAAGACAAGAGAACAAGCTCAGGTTTACTAATTATACTAAGTGTTAAAAATTCCTTCCTTCCTTCCTTCCTTCCTTCCTTCCTTCCTTCCTTCCTTCCTTCCTTCCTTCCTTCCTTCCTTCCTTCTTCCTCCCCTCCCTTCCTCCCCTCTAATTTTCTAGATTGATTTTTTTCCCCTTGTGCTTACCAGTTTCTTTCACAAGCACATCCTTCTTTGATAGCTTTGCTGAAATAAAAAAGTGTAAATATTGGAATATTATAACTTTAAACATTATAGTATTTCAATATGCTTCACTGAGGGCAAGGTTAGATAGCATGAACATCCTTATTTATGTCTATTGACTTTTCTTTCATATGTGTTTCTAGAAATTAAGAAGACTAGAACATGATTTCAGCATTAGAGTAATTGTAATAAATAGTATTCTTTCTTCCCATTTCTCCCCACAACAACAACCTTGTGAGGTTAGTTGGGCTGAGACAGATAGATTGGCCCAAAGTCATTCACTCAGGCTCCATGGCTGAATATAGACTTGAACCTAGGTCTCCCAGTTGCCAGTTCAACCTCTTAAGCACTACATCAACTTGATTCTCATTAACCATTTTACTTTGGAACTTAAAGTACTGTTTCTCATCCCTTCCAGGTAGGCCCAACAAGGAAATCAATTCCACACAGAGGCTAAAACTACTTTGATTGAGATTGGTTATACTGTAATACCAGAATCTTGCAAATCTGATTGTCCTCCTCCTCCTCCTTCTCCTCCTCCTCCTCCTCCTCCTCCTCCTCCTCCTCCTCCTCCTCCTCCTCCTCCTCCTCCTCCTCTGTGAATTAGGGACGCATCTGCCTGAGCCATTTCCAAATATTATCTAGATATTCTGGACCTAAAAAAATGTTTCATCCCTTGTCACCTTGTCAATGGAGAAAGGTCATTTCTCTTACTCTCTATATGTTTCCTATAGCTATATAGCACATCTATTTCCATTCTCTTATGTTAACTTATATTAAATGCTAAAAGTAGAAAGTGCTTAGTGGAACAGGAGATATGAATCAATGACAATGATTCTTCAGCTTATCTTCACTTACTGACCAAGAGGGGGCAGCTGGATACACATAGATAACTCAGGATTTGTTTTGCCTCCCCCTTTTATCTATCTCATTCTGCCTGATGTTTGTTTTATAGTCTTGCTAATCTGAGTTTACTTCCTTCTGCATTTGCTCCAGAAATATCATCAGGGAATGTATTTTTTTTTTTACTTTTCCCCTGGTAGGATGTAGCTAGCTCTGCCTATTCCTATAATGTAATGTTTATGAGCAACTCTTTTTTCTTTTCTAGATACTAAACCTGCACAACTAGTAGTAATAAGGTGACCAACCGTCCTCCTTTAGAGAGAACAGTCCTCCTTTTGTAAGTTCTGTCCTCCCTCGAAAAGTGTCCTCCTACATGTCCTTTGTCTTCCACAAAGCTGAATTGGCAGGAACTTTGCACCCCTCCCTGCTACCCAACTACACCATCTCCTAGTTAGTCCTTAAGATACCTGGAGGAGACTAACTTCCATTTAGGGATGGAAAAATAAAAAAAGAGGAAATGCCATTTCAACGATAAATTGAATAAGGAATTTCCATTCGTCACATCAAAGAAGAATAACATTGTTTTTTGCAATATTTGCAGCGGAGAATTTTGTATTGGAGTTGGGGGCAGAGCAGCTCTTACAAAACACTTGACCACCAAGAAACATAAGCAATCTTCAGATGCATCTGCTTCCAGTTGTAAAGTAACAAGTCTTTTTAAAACTTCAAAGTATTCTGAAGATGAAAAACAGTTAGCTGCAATGGAGGGAACATTTGCATTCCATACCATACCATAATTCACAATCAAAGTTTTCGTAGTATGGATTGTACAACTAAATTATTGAAAAAGTTTCATGATGCTAAATTTTCATGCGTCAGGACAAAATGCGAAGCTATTATTAAATCAGTATTTAAAAATTACTGTGACAAAATACTTACAGAAGACTTGGAAACTGCAGCATTTGTAACGGTTTTATCTGATGCATCCAATCATAATGAAACTAAATTGTATCCAATACTAGTAAGATATTTTAATGTTACCAAGGGCATTCAAATAAAAATTTTAAATTTAGAATCCATTGAGGTCGAAACTGCTGAAATTTTGTCAAACCATCTATACAGAGTAATAAATGAAAACAATTTGAAATCCAAAGTTGTTGCACTAACAGCTGATAATACAAACAAAAATTTTGGTGGGCGAAGACGCAAAGGGGTGAATAATGTGTATGTAAAATTACAAGATTTACTCCAAAAGAAAATACCAGGAATAGGTTGTAATGCGCATATTTTGTCAAATGCGATCAACATGGCATCATGTGCCATGCCAATTGATGTAGAAGTAATAATAATTACAATTTATTTGTATTTTAGTCATTTTACCGTTCGTGTGGCTATTTTAAAACAATTTTGTGAAGAAGCGAATGTTCAATACAAAAAACTTTTAGGTTATTCGAAAGTTAGATGGCTCTACAATTATTTCAACCTCTCCGTTCATATTTTTTAAGTTTAGACAAATTTAAGTTTAGACAAAAGGCATGTAAGCATAATTACAATATAAAATGTTATTGTTACAAATGTTTTTATTATGCATTTATCATATTATAGTGTATTCTGTATTATTGTTGCAATGAATAAAATGTTTCTTTTATTTACGATATTTTTTTCTTCAATTTATTTGTGTCCTCCTTTTCATTGTAAAAAAAGTTGGTCACCTTAGTAGTAACTCAAGTCAAGTTCCAGCTCACACAAATGTTCCACTCTTACAGAAAGTGTACTTTGCTAGATTTATTTTTATCCAGATTTTAACAGATTCTTTGATAAACTTATCTTTTTCTGAAAGCTTGGCTAAAATTATTGTTTTAGGTTATTATAAATTTTGAACAGTACACCATGTCAGTACTACAGGGAGGGAAAATTGAAAAAAATGAGAATATTTACCTATTTCTACTGGTTTTTCTTTCTTATGTGGCTCTAGAAGTAAGAGAAAGACAAAAATAATTCGGTATTGGAATGTCCAATGATGTCACTGAAACTTTTAATTTGATATTCAAAATGAAGCCTAATTCAGCAGGTTCTTCTGAACACAATACTCAGAAGTGGTCACAATGTAGTCTTTTATCCAGGTTAGTCATTTTAATTCATTGGTTTCAGAGAACACTCATCTTTATAGAGTTATGTTAATTTATAGCAATTCTTCAAACAGAAAGGTGCAATTTTCTAGATTTATTTTTATGCTAGTTTTGTTTGCATGCACAGCTTTCTCTGATACTTTGGCTGAAAGAAAAAGATTCAAACATTTTGATTAAGGCATAGATTGAACACAAATTGTCAATATCCCTATAAATGCCCCTATGTTCCAGAGTGGTGCGGAAGACAAAATAAGAGTTTGCTTACGCATTTCTCTTGGCTTTTCTTTCTTGTGTCGTTCTAGAAAGTAAGAGGAAAACCAGAACATGATGTCAACATATGAGTGTTCCTATTAAAGGGAAAAAATTTTCCCCTGGCACAAAGACAAGCAGTAAGCAAATAATAATAATAACTTTGTGTTAACTAATAGGAATTGTAAATTACTAGATCTGTTTTGATTCAGATCTTACCAAATTCTTTTACATGGATATCCTTCATCAGTAGCTTGGCTAAAATGAAAAATTAAAAGTACTGAGTTTTAATAAATGTGGCACAGCTATAATATATTAATATATTTCACATAAGCAAAGGTTTACCTGTTTCTAATGGCTTTTCTTTCTTGTGAGATTCTGGGCAATAAGAGAAAGATCAGAATATTATTTCTCTCATCTTCATAGAGTTATGCTAATTTATAGCAATTCTTCAAAGAGAAAGGTGCAATTTTCTAGATTTATTTTTATGTGGCACTTACTAGTTTTGTTTACATGCACAGCTTTCTCTGATACTTTGGCTGAAAGAAAAAGATTCAAACATTTTGATTAAGGCATAGATTGAACACAAATGGTCAATATCCGTATAATGCCCATGTGTTCCAGAGTAGTGGAGAAGACAAAATAAGAGTTTGCTTACGCTTTTCTTTCTTGTGTCGTTCTAGAAAGTAAGAGGAAAACCAGAACATGATGTCAAAATTTGAGTGTTCCTATTAAAAGGAAAAATTCTTCCCCTGGCACAAAGACAAGCATTAAGCAAATAATAATAATAATAACAACAACAACAACCAAAAAAAGAAGAAGAAGAAGAACAACAACAACAACTTTGTGTTAATTGATGGGAATTGTAAATTACTAGATCTGTTTTGATTCAGATCTTACCAGATTCTTTTACATGGATATCCTTCATCAGTAGCTTGGCTAAAATGAAAAATTAAAAGTAGTGAGTTTTAATAAAAAGGGCACAGCTGTAATATATTAATATATTTCACATAAGCAAAGGGGGGGGGGGCAATAATTCATGTTTACCTGTTTCAAATGGCTTTTCTTTCTTATGAGATTCTAGGCAATAAGAGAAAGACCAGAATATTATTTCTCTCATCTTCATAGAGTTGTGCTAATTTATTATATTGTAGCCTTGGTTTGTGCAGTGGTTAGGATGCAGTACTGCAAGCTAATTCTGCCGACTGTGGACTGCCTGCTGCCAGCACTTCAGCAGTTTGATTCTCACTGGCTCAAGATTGACTCAGACTTCCATCCTTACAAGGTCAATAAAATCAGGACCCAAATTGTTGGGGGCAATATCCTGACTCTGTAAACCACTTAGAAAGGGCTGTAAAGCACTATGAAGCAGTATATAAGTTTGAATGCTATTGCTATTATAATAATTCTTCAAACAAAAAGAGGCCATTTTTTCTAGGTGGGGGAAAACCCTGGGAAGCATTTCAGAAGGGACCCTCCCTCTAAAGGCTAGGAAAAGGAAGTGAGAAATACTTTCAGTCTTACAAGATTCAATTTAATGGCTAGTGATTACTGATGGGAGCACTGTACTTAGAGAATGGTGTAGGTCTTCTGTTTGATCAGGGGGCTGGACTGGAAGACATCCAAGTTTCTTTCAAGCTCTATTCTATTCTTGTATTCTAAACCACGAGTGGGCATCATTATTTTACTTTTATTTATTTATTTATTTATTGGTCAGTCGCTTTTTTCCAAGGCAACTCGTCATAATAGGTTTGTGTTAACTGATGGGAACTATAAATTGCTAGATTTGTTTTGATCCAGATCTTACCAGATTCTTTTGCAAGGATATCCTTCGTCGGTAACCTGGCTAAAAGGAAAAGTTAAAAGCACTGAGTTTTAATAAATGTTGTCCAGTTGTAACACATTATCTTTCACATAAGCAAAAATTATGAGAGGAGAGGCAGTAATTCATGTTTACCTCTTTCTAATGGTTTTTCTTTCTTGTGGGGTTCTAGACAATAAGAGAAAGAGAAGAACATTATTTTTCTCATCTTCATAAAGTTGTGTTAATGTATAACAATTCATCAAAATGGAAAGGTGCAAATTTCTAGATATATTTTTTCCTGGCACTTACCAGTTTTGTTTACATGCACAACTTTCTTTGGCACCTTGGCTAAAAGAAAAATATGCAAACATTTTCATTATGACATAGATTGAACACAAATGGTCAATATCCCTTTAATGCCCATATGTTCCAGAGTAGTGCAGAAGACAAAATAAGAGTTCGCTTACCCATTTCTCTTGGCTTTTCTTTCTTGTGTCGTTCTAGAAAGTAAGAGAAAAACCAGAACACGATGTCAACATTTGGGTGTTCATACTAAAGGGAAAAGTTTTTCCTCTGGCACAGAGACTCAGACTTCCATCCTTACAAGGTCAATAAAATCAGGACCCAAATTGTTGGGGGCAATATCTTGACTCTGTAAACCACTTAGAAAGGACTGTAAAGTACTATGAAGCAGTATATAAGTTTGAATGCTATTGCTAATGTAACAAATCTTCAAACAAAAAGATGCAATTTTTCTAGGTGGGGGACAAACCTGGGAAGCATTTCTGAAGGGACCCTCCCTCTAAAAGGCTAGGAAAAGGAAGTGAGAAATACTTTCAGTCTAACAAGATTCTATTTAATGGCTAGTGATTACTGACGGGAGCACTGTACTTAGAGAATGGAATAGGTCTTCTGTTTGATCAGGGGACTGGACTAGAAGACATTCAAGTTTCTTTCAAGCTCTATTGTATTCGTCTATTCTAAACAATGAGTGGGCATCATTATTTTATTTTTATTTATTTATTGGTCAGTCTCTTTTTTCAAAGGCAACTCGTCATAATAGGTTTGTGTTAACTGATGGGAAGTGTAAATTGCTAGATTTGTTTTGATCTTACCAGATTCTTTTACATGGATATCCTTCATCGGTAATTTGGCTAAAATGAAAAGTTAAAAGCACTGGGTTTTAATAAATGTTGCCCAGCTGTAATATATTATCTTTCACATTAGCAAAGGTTATGAGAGCAGAGGCAGTAATTCAAATTTACCTGTTTCTAATGGCTTTTCTTTCTTGTGTGGTTCTAGACAATCAGAGAAAGAGCAAAAGATTATTTCTCTCATCTTCATTAAGTTATGTTAATATATTAACAATTCTTCAAATGGAAAGGTGCAATTTTCTAGATATATATTTTACATGCCACTTACCAGTTTTGTTTACATGCATATCTTTCTTTGGCACTTTGGCTAAAAGAAAAAGATTCAAACATTTTGATTATGACATTTGAAAACAAATTATCAATATTCCTTTAATGCCCATATGGTCCAGAGTAGTGCAGAAGACAAAATAAGAGCATGCTTACCCATTTCTCTTGGCTTTTCTTTCTTGTGTCGTTCTAGAAAGTAAGAGGAAAGTCAGAACATAATGTCAACATTTGGGTGTTCATATTAAAGGGGAAAGTGGTTTGTTTGTTCCTTCTCCTTCTGCTGTGGTCAGGGGTCGCAGCAATGTTCTATGCCAAGTTCAAAGTTAAAGGAAGTGGCAGCAGAGGGGAGAGGAAGAGGATGGGGGAAAGGAAAGCCCTTGGTTGGGAGCTTCTAATGCAGTGTTTCTCAACCTTGACAATTTTAAGGCATGTGGACTTCAACTCCCAGAATTCCACAGCCAGCCATGCTGGCTGTGGAATTCTGGGAGTTGAAGTCCACATGCCTTAAAATTGTCAAGGTTGAGAAACACTGTTCTAATGGGAACAGAATCAGGCAGGCAGGGAAGGACTACTTCATGGACAAGGACAATAGGTAGCGACAGCTATATAAGAAATGGTCCTGGAATAAGCAATGTCAGCTAAAGCTCTGAGGAAATTACTCTGATGATATTATGGAAAGACCTTGGGAGACAGGAGCAAGACCTGCCATCTGGTCAGTGGTCTGATAAAAGGCAACCTAGTCTGCCCATAAGGGAAAGCCTGGGAAGTATTTCAGAAGTTATCCTCCCTCTAAAAGACTAGGAAGAGGAAGTGAGAAACACTTTCAGTCTTGCAAGATTCTGTTTAAAGGCTAATGATTACTAATGGGAGTAGTGTACTTAGAGAGCACTCAGTATTGGTTTTGGTAGACCAACTCTCCCTAAAAAGAAAGGATAACTTTTAGTGTGAAAGTTCCCATATCTCTGATTGTCCCTAGGGAGGGCATTCATAACTGGTTGAGATGGTCCTTCTATAGGTCTAGAGCTCAGAATGCTAGCAACCCTAAAGATTTCTTCTCTAGGCAACACAAAATAGACATGGAGGAGGAATTTCTCTGCTCCGTCATAGAAAATACATTTTATAGTAGGATAAGCTGGAGTAGCTTTAACTGGTCTCTGCAGCAAGCCAATCTTGAGAAAGAGCATCTCCTAAGAGGATAGATCTTCAACAAGCAGTAAGCAAATGATATAGGAGCCAGGGCAAAGATGAGCCCTAGGAAACCAAGAATAGGCAGAAGGCACTATATTATTTATTATTATTATTATTTTTATTTTTTTGATCAGTCTCTTTTTCAAGGTAACTCATCATAATAAGTTTGTGCTAACTAATGGGAAGTGTAAATTGCTGGATTTGTTTTGATCCACATCTTACCAGATTCTTTTACATGAATATCCTTCATCGGTAGCCTGGCTAAAAAGAAAAGTTAATAGTACTCAGTTTTAATAAATGTTGCCCAGGTGTAATATATTAATATATTTCACATAAGCAAAGGTGTGGCAATAATTCATGTTTACCTGTTTCTACTGGCTTTTCTTTCTTGTAGGATTCTAGACAATAAGAGAAAGACCAGAATATTATTTCTCTCATCTTCACAGAGTTGTGATAATTTATTATATTGTAGCCTTGGTGGTGCAGTGGGTAGGATATAGTACTGCAGGCTAATTCTGTTTACTGCAGTCTGCTGGCTGCCAGCACTTTGGCAGTTTGATTCTCACTGGCTCAAAGTTGACTCAGACTTCCATTCTTTCAAGGTCAGTAAAAAGAGAACCCAGATTGTTGGGGGCAATATGCTGACTCTGTAAACTGCTTAGAGAGGGCTGTAAAGCACTGTGAAGTGGTATATAAGTCTACGTGCTATTGCTATTGCTATTGCTATTATAACAATTCTTCAAATGGAAAGATGCAATTTTCAAATTTTTTTTACATGGCACTTACCAGTTTTGTTTACATGCATATCTTTCTTTGGCACTTTGGCTAAAAGAAAAAGATTCAAACACTTTGATTATGAAATAGGTTGAACACAAATGGTCAATATCCCTTTAATGCCCATATGTTCCAGAGTAGTGCAGAAGACAAAATAAGAGTTCGCTTACCCATTTCTTTTGGCTTTTCTTTCTTGTGTCGTTCTAGAAAGTAAGAGAAAAACCAGAACATGATGTCAACTAAAGGGAAAAGTTTTTCCTCTGGCACAGAGACTCAGACTTCCATCCTTACAAAGTCAATAAAATCAGGACCCAAATTGTTGGGGGCAATATCTTGACTCTGTAAACCACTTAGAAAGGGCTGTAAAGTACTATGAAGCAGTATATAAGTTTGAATGCTATTGCTATTGTAACAAATCTTCAAACAAAAAGATGCAATTTTTTTAGGTGGGGGACAAACCTGGGAAGCATTTCTGAAGGGACCCTCCCTCTAAAAGGCTAGGAAAAGGAAGTGAGAAATACTTTCAGTCTAACAAGATTCAATTTAATGGCTAGTGATTACTGATGGGAGCACTGTACTTAGAGAATGGAATAGGTCTTCTGTTTGATCAGGGGACTGGACTAGAAGACATTCAAGTTTCTTTCAAGCTCTATTGTATTCGTCTATTCTAAACAATGAGTGGGCATCATTATTTTATTTTTATTTATTTATTGGTCAGTCTCTTTTTTCAAAGGCAACTCGTCATAATAGGTTTGTGTTAACTGATGGGAAGTGTAAATTGCTAGATTTCTTTTGATCTTACCAGATTCTTTTACATGGATATCCTTCATCGGTAATTTGGCTAAAATGAAAAGTTAAAAGCACTGGGTTTTAATAAATGTTGCCCAGCTGTAATATATTATTAATATATTATCTTTCACATAAGCAAAGGTTATGAGAGCAGAGGCAGTAATTCAAATTTACCTGTTTCTAATGGCTTTTCTTTCTTGTGTGGTTCTAGACAATCAGAGAAAGAGCAAAAGATTATTTCTCTCATCTTCATTAAGTTATGTTAATGTATTAACAATTCTTCAAATGGAAAGGTGCAATTTTCTAGATATATATTTTACATGCCACTTACCAGTTTTGTTTACATGCATATCTTTCTTCGGCACTTTGGCTAAAAGAAAAAGATTCAAACATTTTGATTATGACATAGTTTGAAAACAAATTATCAATATTCCTTTAATGCCCATATGTTCCAGAGTAGTGCAGAAGACAAAATAAGAGCATGCTTACCCATTTCTCTTGGCTTTTCTTTCTTGTGTCGTTCTAGAAAGTAAGAGGAAAACCAGAACATGATGTCAACATTTGGGTGTTCATACTAAAGGGAAAAGTAGTTTGTTCCTTTTCCTCATGCTATGGTCAGTGGTTGCAGCAATGTTCTATGCCAAGTTCAAAGTTAAAGGAAGTGGCAGCAGAGGGGAGAGGAAGAGGATGGGGGAAAGGAAAGCCCCTTGGTTGGGGGCTACTAATGGGAACAGAATCAGGCAGGCAGGGAGGACTACTTCAATGGCAAGGACAGTGAAACCTAGTCAGTGGTCTGATAAAAGGCAACCTAGTCTGCCCATGTGGGGAAGGCCTGGGAAGCATTTCAGAAGGGACCCTCCCTCTAAAACACATAAAAAAGAATTGAGAAATACTTTCAGTCTCACGAGATTCTATTTAATATCTAGGGATACATTTTTTTGTTTTGTTTTGGTCAATCTCTTATTTCAAGGCAACTCATCATAATAAGTTTGTGTTAACTGATGGAAAGTGTAAATTGCTAGATTTGTTTTGATCCAGATCTTACCAGATACTTTTACATGGATATCCTTCATCGGTAACTTGGCTAAAATGAAAAGTTATAAGTACTGAGTTTTAATAAATATTGCCCAGCTGTAATATATTATGTTTCACGTAAGCAAAAGTATGGCTGTAATTCATGTTTACCTGTTTCTAATGGTTTTTCTTTCTTGTAGGGTTCTAGACAATCAGAGAAAGACCAGAACATTATTTCTCTCATCTTCATAGAGCTGTGTTAATGTATAACAATTCGTCAAAATCGAAAGGTGCAATTTTCTAGATTTATTTTTTCATGGCACTTACCAGTTTTGTTCACATGTATAACTTTCTTTGGCACTTTGGCTAAAAGAAAAATATTCAAACATTTTGATTATGACATGGATTGAAAACAAATGGTTAATATCTCTTTAATGCCCATATGTTTAGAGTAGTGAAGAAGACAAAATAAGAACGTGCTTACTGATTTCTCTTGGCTTTTCTTTCTTGTGTCGTTCTAAAAATTAAGGGAAAAGTGGTTTGTTCTTTTTCCTTCTTCTGAGGTCAGGGGTTGCTGCAGTGTTCCATGCCAAGTTCAAAGTTAAAGGAAGTGGAAGCAGAGGAACAGGATGGAGAAAAGGAGTCACCCTTGGTTGGGAACTTCTAATGGGGAACCGAATCAGGCAGGCAGGTGAGGACTATTTCATGAACAAGCACAGTGGGTAGTGACAGCTATAGTAAGAGGTGGTCCTGGAATAAACAATGTCTGCTAAAGCTGTGAGGGGATTACTTGTGCCCATGTGGAGAAGGCCTGGGAAAAATTTCAGAAGGAGCCATCCCTCTAAAACACGAGGAAAAAGAATTGAGAAATACTTTCAGTCTCACAAGATTCTATTTAATATCTAGGGATTGCTCATGGGAGTATTGTACTTAGAGAATATTCAGTTTTGGTTTTCAGTATTAAATAGACCAATTCTCCCTAAAAAGAAAGGATAAACCTTAAACGTGAACGTTAATATCTCTGATTGTCAAAATTAAATTAACCATGGAGGACATTTATAACAAATTAACATGGTCCTTCTATAGGCTTAGAGCCCAAAATGCTGGTAACACTAAAGATTCCTTCTTTGGGCAATACAGAACACACATGGAGAAGATCTGTCTCTGTTTTCTCATAGAAAATAGCATTTTTTTGTTGGAAAGCTGGAGTTGCTTCAACCGGCCTCTCCAGCAAGCCAGCCCTGAGAAAGAGGAACTCACGTGAGGATATATCTTCAACAAGTGATAAGTAAATGATCTAGGAGGCAGGGCAAGAGATGAATGGGCAGAAAGCACTCTATTATTCATCATTATTTGATTTTTGGGGGATCAGTCTCTTATTTCAAGGCAACTCGTCATAATAGGTTTGTGTTAACTGATGGGAAGTGTGAATTGCTAGATTTATTTTGATCCAGATCTTACCAGATTCTTTTGCATGGATCTCCTTCATCGGTAGCTTGGCTAAAATGAAAAGTTATAAGTACTGAGTTTTAATAAAGGTTGCCCAGCTGTAATATATTATGTTTCACATAAGCAAAAGTATGGCTGTAATTCATGGTTACCTGTTTGTAATGGTTTTTCTTTCTTGTGGGGTTCTAGACAATAAGAGAAAGACCAGAACATTATTTCTCTCATCTTCATAATGTTGTGTTAATGTATAACAATTCGTCAAAATTGAAAGGTGCAATTTTCTAGATATGTATTTTACATGCGACTTACCAGTTTTGTTTACATGCACAACTTTTTTGGGCACTTTGGCTAAAGAGAAAAAGATTCAAACATTTTGATTATGACACAGATTGAAAACAAATGGTCAATATATCTTTAATGCCCATATGTTCCAGAATAGTGCAGAAGGCAGAATAAAAGTGTGCTTACCAATTTCTCTTGGCTTTTCTTTCTTGTGTTGTTCTAGAAAGTAAAAGGAAAACCAGAAAATGATGTCAACATCTGAGTATTCCTATTAAAGGGAAAAATTCTTCCCCTGGCACAAAGACAAGCAGTAAGCAAATAATAATAATAACTTTGTGTTAACTGATGGGAATCGTAAATTACTAGATTTGTTTTGATTCAGATCTTACCAGATTCTTTTACATGGATATGCTAATTTATTATATTGTAGCCTTGGTTTGTGCAGTGGTTAGGATGCAGTACTGCAAGCTAATTCTGCCAACTGTGGACTGCCTGCTGCCAGCACTTCAGCAGTTTGATTCTCACTGGCTCAAGATTGACTCAGACTTCCATCCTTACAAGGTCAATAAAATCAGGACCCAAATTGTTGGGGGCAATATCCTGACTCTGTAAACCACTTAGAAAGGGCTGTAAAGCACTATGAAGCAGTATATAAGTTTGAATGCTATTGCTATTATAATAATTCTTCAAACAAAAAGAGGCCATTTTTTCTAGGTGGGGGAAAACCCTGGGAAGCATTTCAGAAGGGACCCTCCCTCTAAAGGCTAGGAAAAGGAAGTGAGAAATACTTTCAGTCTTACAAGATTCAATTTAATGGCTAGTGATTACTGATGGGAGCACTGTACTTAGAGAATGGAATAGGTCTTCTGTTTGATCAGGGGGCTGGACTGGAAGACATCCAAGTTTCTTTCAAGCTCTATTCTATTCTTCTATTCTAAACCACGAGTGGGCATCATTATTTTACTTTTATTTATTTATTTATTTATTGGTCAGTCGCTTTTTTCCAAGGCAACTCGTCATAATAGGTTTGTGTTAACTGATGGGAAGTATAAATTGCTAAATTTGTTTTGATCCAGATCTTACCAGATTCTTTTGCATGGATATCCTTCGTCGGTAACCTGGCTAAAAGGAAAAGTTAAAAGCACTGAGTTTTAATAAATGTTGTCCAGTTGTAACACATTATCTTTCACATAAGCAAAAATTATGAGAGGAGAGGCAGTAATTCATGTTTACCTCTTTCTAATGGTTTTTCTTTCTTGTGCAGTTCTAGACAATCAGAGAAAGAGCAAAACATTATTTCTCTCATCTTCATAAAGTTATGTTAATGTATTAATAATTCTTCAGATGGAAAGGTGCAATTTTCTAGATATATATTTTACATGCGACTTACCAATTTTGCTTCCATGCACAACTTTCTTTGACACCTTGGCTAAAAGAAAAAGATTCCAACATTTTGATTATGACATAGATTGAAAACAAGTGGTCAATATCTCTTTAATGCCCATATGTTCCAGAGTAGTGCAGAAGACAAAATAAGAGTTTGCTTACCCATTTCTCTTGTTTTTTCTTTCTTGTGTCGTTCTAGAAAGTAAGAGGAAAACCAGAACATGATGTCAATATCTGGGTGTTCATATTAAAGGGAGAAGTTCTTCCCCTGACACAAAGGCAGTGGTTTGTTCCTTCTCCTTCTGCTGTGGTCAGGGGTCATAGCAATGTTCTATGCCAAGTTCAAAGTTACAGGAAGTGGCAGCAGAGGGAAGAGGAACAGGATGGGGGAAAGGAGTCACCCTTGGTTGGGGGCTTCTAATGGGGAACAGAATCCAGCAGGCAGAGGAGGACTACTTCATTGACAATGAAGAGGTGGTCCTGGAATAAGTAATGTCTGCTAAAGCTATGAGGAGATTACTGTGATGATATTGGGAGACAAGAGAAAGACCTAAACCTAATCAGTGGTCTGATAAAAGGCAGCTTATTCTGCCCATGGGAGGAAAGCCTGGGAAACATTTCAGAAGGAATCGTCCCTTGAAAGAACTAAAGAGAGGAGGGGAGAAATACTTTCAGTCTAACAAGATTCTATTTAAGGGCTAATGATTACTGATGGGGGAATGGTATAGGGTCTCTTGTCTGACCAGGTGGCTGGACTAGTAGACCTCCAAGGTCCCTTCAAGCTCCATTTTATTCTTTTATTTTAACACTCAGTTTTGGGTTTTGGTTTTGGGTAGACCAACTTTTCCTAAAAATAAAGGATAAACTTTAAGTGTGAAAGTTCTAATATCTCTGATTGTCAAAATTAAATTAACTATGGGGAGCATTTATAACCAATTGAGATGGTCCTTTTATAGGTTTAGAGCCCAGAATGCTGGCAATACTAAAGATTCATTCTCCGGGCAACACAGAATAGACAGGAAGAAGATCTGACTCTGTTCTCTCATAGAAAATACCATTTTCTAGTTGGATAAGCTTCAGCCAGCCTTTTCAGCAAGCCAACCCTGAGAAAGAGGATCTCATACAAGGATATATCTTCAACAAGGGATAAGCAAATGATCTAGGAGGCAGGGCAAGAGATGAGCCCTAGGAAACCACGAGTGGGCAAAAGGCACTCTATTATTCATCATTATTTGATTTTTTGGTTGGTCTCTTTTTCATGGCAATCATAATTATAATAGTTTTATGTTAACTGATGGGAAGTGTAAATTGCTAATTTGTTTTGATCCAAATCTTATTAGATTCTTTTACATGGCTATCCTTTGTTGGCAGCTTGGCTAAAATGAAAATTAAAAGTACTAAGTTTTAATAAATGTTGCACAGTTGTACTATATTAATAGGTTTCGCATAAACAAAGATGGGGCAGTAATTCATGCTTACCGGTTTCTAATGGCTTTTCTTTCTTGTGGGGTTCTAGACAATAAGAGAAAGACCAAAATGTTATTTCTGTATTTGGTTGTTCCTAAAAACAGCGGATGATTCCCTATATTACACAGAATTGTCAGGCACAAGAAATCAGGAAGCAAGATGGTTCAAAGGATGACAGATTTATTGCATGCTTACACTCTGTGCAAATGTGGCTGCTAATGGTCAAAGCAAATTGGTAGTAGATAAGAGTCAACGGAATTCAAAGTGGGCTTATGGACATGAAGGGACTTGAGACTGATGATGTGTTGACACCCACCCACCCCTCATGCTCAGTCTGGTCTTCTCCTACAGAATTAAATGATAGATTGAAGACATTTTTAAGTCACTCTTTTAATCTGACTGTTAAAACTAAATTGGGATTGAATGGACTGTTCTTTCTAGATAACTCATAGTTGGTAGAATATGCTTTATGATTTATTCATAGTTTTTTTTTCTTGGCAGTTTTGTGTCACCTACAAAAGTCAAATTACTGAGACTGTCTCTGTATTGAGTCCTGGCATAAATAGGTCTAGATAATCCAGTTCCTAGAGGATTCACAGCAGTTGCTGTCTGATCACTTTCTCAATTACCTTCCCTGAAAAGGGAAGATTAGAGACAGGTCAGTAGTTACATAAAATTGTTGGGTCTTGAAGAGTGGGAATACCACCACTTCCTTCTGGCTCTAGGGACTACTCCTCCTTCAGAGAGTTCAGTACATTGACAAAGACCTACTTCAGGGGGGAACTGGGTCCAACAAACAAGTGCAACTCTGTGCAAGAGCACAGAGAACCCCATCTATTTCCTCAGGACTCACCTAGATCATACCACAATTCTAGGTACCCAGACCAAACTCACCCAGTCAGCATACAAATCAATGTCAATCTGAGCAGTGTTATCTGTCACCCTGAGTAGGGCTGTTGGATAGCTATCAACAATCACAATACTTACATTTTGTTGTCCTTATAATTACAAGGTAATATAGGCAATTGCCCATATTCAAGCAGGCTTTCTTAAATCTCTTTCCAATATCACTCCAGACATTTTTTTTTTTTTTTTTTGCAGGGAGTGCAACCTGTCCTGGGGTTTCTCAATAATCTAAAGTGTGCCTGATATTGATGCACAGAGACAGGTCACCTAGGGGTGTTGTGGTTCAAGGCTCCTGTCAAAAACCCATGCCTGGCAACAACTGAGACCTCACCTAAACCAACCACCAGATCTACAGAGTAAACCATAAGCTCCCCCATACAGTCCATTAGTCACCTGGGGAGGACCAATAGAATACGCCATCTCTTCCCATGGGGGAGGGCAATGAAGGGAATCAAAGAGTAAGCCACATTTGGTGTTCTATTTTTTAGCAATTAGTCATTCTCTTGGAATTCTCATTTCTGTAGCCTTTTATTAATTTTCACAATGGAAAATGGAATTTTACTTTTACTCAGGTCTTACCAGTTTTGATTGCATGCACAGCCTTCTTTAGCAGCTTGGCTATAAGGAAAAGAAAAAGATTTAAGAATATTGATTATTATAAATATGCCTATTTATAATATCAGTATGGATATCAATATGCCTATCACATCTTTCAGATAGCAAAGGTAGGGAAATTAGAGCATACCTACCTATTTCTATTAGCTTTTCTTTTTTATCTGCTTCTAGAAAGTAAGAGGAAGATTTGAACATGATTTCTGTATTTGGGTGCTCAAAATAAACAGTGGATGATTCCATGCTTAACAGAAAAAGAAGTGATAGACCAAAGGCACTTAAATATAGAATGTTTTAATTCCCCAATTAATCACATTGGACAGAATGTAGTCTCCTATCTACATTTTTAAAATAATTTTTATTGCTTTTAAAATGATAACAGCAAAAAGCAAAAGGAACAAAACTCAGAATACATACATTATCAAAACAATGCATAAGAAGTGCTTAAAAATAAGTGAAAAAATACAACAGAAAAAATAAGATACAGAGTATGATATATTGTTAGAACAATAAACAGATACAGTTCTATATATGATCTAATACAAACATTATTATGTGTGTGTGTATATATATATATATATTTCTAATACATTTATATGACTTTCATTCTTTTTTTAACCTACTTTCATTCTTTTTTTAACTTTGTATAAACGAGTCTCATATTTCCTTATATTTATCCACACAAAGTGTACAATCTACAGGCAATCCACTCATAGGTAGCAACTATAATCCAGTCTTCAATTCAGCAAAGCCACACATTTATCTTTCCAATGTTGCATTATCAGTCTTTTAGCTACAATAAGGGCATGGAGAATCCATTTATGTTGTTCAGTTGTTAAATTCCTTGAGCTAGGTATGTAATTTAAGATAATATTATCGGAAAATCTTAGCTTTTGTTTGCACAGTCAACATTTATGTAGTCCTTTATTTTGTCCCCAAATTTAATGCTTTTAAAGAAGCATTGCCATACTGCATACCAACAAAATGCTGTCCTACACAATCCTTTTCTATACAAACATAATGGAGTCCAATAAATTCTAAATATTATTTTTGGTTTTATAAATCATAAGCTGCAATCTATTGATATCCTAGGTATAGATGTTAAGACACAGTCTTATTGTCTAAGCAATATAGGAACCTCTAATTCTTTATTTCACTATTTTTTTTACCATTTGCATATCAAATTGATTTATTGATAACATCTATTGAAATGAATAGTTGGTTTCTTCAGTTTAAAAGATTTAACCAATGGTTCTCGTATCTCAGGTGTCTCAGAAGTTGAAAATGCTGCTGGTTCAAACAATGCTGTTAACAATGATTGTAGCTGTAAATATTGCTACTGAGTTACATCTGATAAATATTTGTCTCTTAGCATATCATAGGTTAAAAATTTGTCCCCATCATCTATCAATTGATCCAAAATCAATATTCCCACATTCATCTAATTTTTCCATATCAACATTTCCCCCCTAATTTTTAACATTGAATTTCCCCATAAAGTCAGTTTAGCATGGGAAAAAGGATTGAATCATCTCCTATCAAAAGTTGGTGTTTTATTTCAATAGTTAGCTGCTTCTCTTAAGGAACACTCATTTCTGTAGTCTTTGATTACTTTTCAAGGTAGAAAGTTGACTGTCCCAGATTTTTTTTCCTTAGGTCTTACCAGTTTTGTTTGCATACACAGCCTTCTTTGGCAGCTTGGCTAAAATGAAAAGATTTAAATATATTGATTATCACACATATTGAATACTTATGCATAACACAACTTTTAGGTAAATGTAGGAAAATAAGAGCATGCTTACCTATTTCTATTGACTTTTCTTTCTTGTCTGTTTCTAGAAAATAAGAAAAAGGTTTGAACTTGATTTCTGCATTCGAGCATTCAAAATAAACAGTGAATAATTCCATATTTAACAAAGAAGGAAGCAATACATTGGAGGCAATTAGAGACAGAATGTTTTAATTCCTCAATTAAAATTAAGGTAGAATTGAGAAGATTCCTCTGAAGATTGGCAGAATGCAATTTATGATCTATTCATTTTTGTTGGTTTCTTTTTTAAAAAAAAGAACTTAAGGTTTATATGACCAGAAAATGATTTTTGCATTTAAATATTCCAAATAAACAGTATATAATTTAATACTTAACAAAGAAGGAAATGACAGACTGAGGGGACTTTAATTCCACAAACAAAACTAATCTGGGATTGAATATATTCTGAATTCAGTTGGAAGAATATATTTTATTATCTATTCTTTTTTGTTTCTGTGTTTTTCTTCTTAAGGCTTATATGTCTTCTGAGCTGAAAATAAGACTGAGCTCTTCCAGTAATCTGGCTCCAGTACCAAGTTCAAATATGAGGACATCTCCTCAACAAAAGCCAAGCAGACTATGTTGGAACCAAAGCAACAGGACTGTGTGGATGAGGCTTAGGTAACCCATCCATAGGAAATTTATTATACAAATTTTTGGCTTTATTTCACTAGGTAGTCACTTAGGATGTGTAACAGCCATTTCCAGAGTCTTCTGTTAATTTATACTAAGTGTTTAAAAGGAACAGTGCCATTTCTGAGATATGTTTTTACCCCATTCTTACCAGATTTCTTTACATGCACATGTTTCTTTGGCACTTTGGCTAAAAGAGGAAGATATAAGGATTTCAGTTATTCTACAATTTGAACATGTATAATCCATATCCATGTTCAATATCATGTTCTGCAGTTGTAAAAGAAAGAAAACACTAGCATACTGACCTATTTCTATTGGCTTTTCTTTTTTATGTGTTTCTAGGATGTAAGAAGAAGAACAGAAAATGATTTCTCCATCAGAGTCTATAAGGGTGTGCTTATTCCATATATTCCATATCATTATTGAAATGATAAACCAAGATCACAGTTAATTAGTCTTGTGATTTCATAATTAAAACAAAGTAGGGATTAAGTGGCTCTTATTTTCTTCCTGTTGCACATACGCTGTTTATTTTTGTTATTGCTGAATATTCTCCAAATTTAAGTAGCCAATCAGATATCATCAGAATTGTTTCTTTCTTCCAATTCTGTGCAAAATTTATTGTCATTGCCATGAGAATACACACACACACACACACACACACACACACTGGGATTATATCTCATAAAAAAGGTGCAATTTCATTTCAAATTTAATTTCTGAACTTTTCTGCATTGTACTATGTATATCTTCCCAGTACTTTTGTGGGGTTTTTTTTACATATTCATCAAATATAAAATTTCTGTTTCATGGCATTTACAACATTTATTACTATATGATATATAATTGAGCTATATTGGAGATAAATCGATGGAGTTGTGTACCATATGTAAAACATTTTATACCAGTTTTCTTTTAGGCTGTGACTTGAAGTAGATTTTATGGATTTAATCCATAATTCTTCTCATTGTTGTGTAGTGATTGTTTCTTTGCACCCATTTTATCATAAGGTTTTATTTTATTTTTCTTGTCTCCATGTCATATCTAAGTAGGAGCTTATATATGTGCTCCTAACAAATGGTATTTGTTTTGAATTGGCACTTCACTTAAAATCAGAATGTTCTATGTTAAATTATGGCAAGAGTTCAAAAGAGATCTCAGAAGATGGAAGAACGTAAGGCCACTGTGATCAGGATCAATTGTAATTGTTAACATGAAATTATTACCCAAGACTAATTATTTATTCCAAATGGCATCAGAGAGTTGTAAATCTCAGGGAGAACCTTACAAAAATAGCAAGAAATAGTCAGCAAATTTATATGAAGTGGGAAAAGTCCCGTAGTTAAATTAAAAATGTTCAATATTCAAAAGAGGTAGTTTTGTTCTTCAAAATTTATATTAAAGCAGAAAGCAAGCTGCTTGTCATGGGTAACAGGGTGAATAAAATTCTTGATTAATAGAATGTTAATACTACTAATGGACTGGAAAGATATACATAGTACAATGGATATTTATGAGACACAAAGGAGGTTGAACATTTAAATGGACATATTATCAATGAAGTTTAATAGAAGCATGGAATTCTATAAGGAAAATAATAAGCCCGTTAGATAGACTTGTTAGTGTGTCCTTTAAATGTCTTTCATACTGGAGATAATTACAGTAAGAAAAATGCAGACATGGTCCATCCAGACTCAGTGAATGGATTGAAGAGATAGCAAGAATTATTCAGTGAAGACCAGAATATGGATGATTTTGAGGCAGAGGATAGGGGGCTGTAGGGATTAGTCCTAAGTAACTCACAGGAACAAGATGTAGTCTATTTTTCATGTCATTTTATTTCATTACTCAATGTCTTCTTCTATGGCATGCTCACATCAACAATCTTGTATGAATTAATACGAAGTATTCAAAACAGAAAGTGTAATTTGGAGGAGAAAAAAAAAACCCAGGTCTTACCAGATTCTTTCACATGTGCACCCTTCTTTGACCAGTCTGCAAAAATAAAAGAGTAAAAGGATTATGATAATTTTTCAATAGCATACTATATGAATATGTTTCTGGGAAGCAGTGGTGAGAAAATGGGATGTGGTTTCCTATTTCTATCAGCTTTTCTTTCTTGTATGGTTCTGGAAGGTAAGAGGAAAACAAGGGCATCGTTCCTGCCCTTGAAAGTTCTTAGTAAGCAGAGTAGCACTTCTACACTGACCAGAAAATAAAATTATAGACTGGGGTCACTTACAGATGGTGAGCTTACTCATTCCCCAATTAAGACTTTGAAAGGGCAGTTAGTCTGTTTTATTACAAGAGAGAAGTAGAAAGGACACATTTTACTTTTTTGTAAATGTGCAGTGCTCATAGAGAGCCAAGGATGAATCTTTGAAGAAATGACAGCTAACTATTGTTTGTCTGCCAGCAAACAAGAAATGAATGTCTTGTCCTACCCACTCACTTTCAAGAACCTCTTCCCCTTCTCCCAGCAAAAAATAAATAAAAGAAAAATAAACCAAAAACCTATTGTCATAAAAGCAAATCATCTATAGAGAGATATAAAGGCCCTTCTCCTTTGGATGTAAACAGACAAGTCATGGTGCAAGGAAACCAAGCTAATAAATTAGTATTTATTTAAAAGATGTATATTGTCACCCATTTAAGCAACTCTGGAGAGTTTACAACAGCCAATTAATATTAAATTAATATGCATGTGAGAATATCCTAAAAAGGGAGAAATGACTCATCGGCATTTCAAAAGACCACATAGGGAACAAAGTACCATTATATACGCAAACCTTCTACAGTTTAACCATATATGGCAGTGATGCCGAACCTTTTAGAGACCGAGTGCCCAAACCCACTTATGCATCGTCGGGTGCCCGGTGGGTGTGGCCCATTGGGTGGGTGTGGCCCATTGGGTGGGTGTGGCTGTGGTGGTAACGGCAGACTGGGTTGGACTAAAAAGTTCAATCAATCAATTCCAACTTTGCAAGATCTTTTTTTTTCCCGCAAGAAGTTGAAATTGACTGATTAATTGAACCTTTTTTTTTTTTTTGCACACGGCGGCAGAGGCCTAAAGCGAAAAGGTTTTATAAAACCCAGCTGAAGGCCCAGGACTGGGGCAACATGCTATAGGTTCGCCACCACTGATATATGGCAAAATCATGCATTGAATCAATGAGAAATGGACATATGGAGCTATGTATATTTATAAGTACTGTAATTACCCCAATATTGATATCTGAGATAAACTTTTCTATTTACTTGTTGGTTTCTTTTATTCATTAGACACAGAATTATTATTTCATAACAATTTGGTGTTAGAAATTGGATCAGAAACAGTGATTGGTAAGTAGTTGGGGAAACAGGATCTGGCATCCTGGCATGAAGCCCCTAAAAATGGCATCAGTGGATTGCTCAATCCAATTTTGCATTGCATCTGCCCTGTCAAGAAACGGCCTTAGGCTATGAAATTCTTAATTTTATTCTATTGTCTATAGACAGAAAAATAATATTTGCCCATATGAATGATATCTTAATGTACACAGAGGCCTTGCTACTATTGCCACACAGTTCAATGTTACATTAGTAATCATATGATTAAGTGTTTGGATTAACATTATAAATAATATATTAATAATATTATGTGACTGCATGTGGTAGAATGCACTAAGCATTTTATTATCTTTAGTTGTTGCTGTATTAATTAACATTGTCTCCATGATTTACTCAGCCGTGACTACCTAAACATAACTGGATATAATGGAGGTTATCTAACATTACTTCCTGACTTCTACTACGTTCTCTTCACTCCATTATTCATGGGGGAGAATGAGCCCCTCTCTTTTCCAGTAGAACTAAGGGGAATGAGGCAAGTGGTTTTGAACAACCATATATCTCTCCTTTAGACAGCATACTAAAAAGCAGAGACATCACCCTGCCAACAAAAGTGCGTATAGTCCAGGCCATAGTTTTCCCATTTGCAATGTATGGCTGTGAAAGTTGGACCATAAGAAAGGCTGAGCGCCAAAGAATTGAGGCCTTTGAACTATGGTGCTGGAGAAGACTCCTGCGAGTCCCTTGGACTGCAAGCATTCAAACCGGTCAGTCCTAGAAGAGATCAACCCCGACTGCTCTTTAGAAGGCCAGATCCTGAAGTTGAAACTCAAATACTTTGGCCACCTAATGAGAAAGAAGGACTCACTGGAGAAGGGCCTAATGCTGGGAAAGATTGAGGGCAATAGTAGAAGGGAACGACAGAGAATGAGATGGCTGGATGGAGTCACTGAAGCAGTAGATGTGAACTTAAATGGACTTCAGAAGATGGTAGAGGACAGGAAGGAGCGTTGTCCATGGGGTCGCAATGGGTCGGACACAACTTTGCAATTAACAACAACAAACATCTCTCCTTTAACAAACTTCTTATAACTAAATAGGATATGTTCTTCCTCGTTTCCTGACACAGAAGCATGGGCCACAGAATCTATATAATTTCCAAATCACAAATTGCACAGAATATCCAACACTCGCTGAAGCTACTTGAAAAGGCAGTGGTGGTATGTAATAACAAAGATGACTCATACGGGTGATGGCTCAGGAAGGAAAGGGAAGCTGGCAGAAGAGGATGGGGACAAGCCCATCTGCTGTTTGGGGAATATTTAGAAGATCAACTCCCCAAATGTCAATTTTAGGTGGTGAGACAATCAGGAAGGTATCAAGCTTTCTTGTGAAAGACCTAGGCTTGCTATCAATTAACAGCAAGACAAGAAGTGAAAAGATTTTCTAAAGCACAGCATTGTCTCTGAGTAGCTTGACTAGAAAATGACAGAATAAACATATTTTATGTTTCCTTTAAAGGAAGAGTTCATTGTCAAGACTATGAAATCCCACATAGTTTAAAGTTAAAATCTCATCAGTGTTACTTCTACATTAAGACGTTTTCTCATCAGCCTGCAGATTGCTTCTTGTAGCTAGCTTGCTCCCCCTGCCTGATTCATGCAGAAGAATCAATTTTACTATACTCGGTATTGCAGTTGTAAAGTTTGAAACTTGTGATCGCAATAGATGGTTACAAGGAGCTTATAGTAGATCATAGGAGGAATAGATCAGATATTCAGCCCCTGATTATCAGCGGAGACCGTGTGGAGCCTGTGGTCAGCTTTAGGATTCTGGGTGTTACCAAAAAGAAAGACCTGGCCTGGAATGCTCACGTTATAGCATTGGTTAAGAAGGTGCAGCAGAGATTATGAAAAACTGCTGGTGACCTTCTATCATTGCTTCAAGAGAGCATTCTCACCTATTGCATTTGTGTTTGGTTTGCCAACTGCACAGTAGCAGATAGGAAAGCACTCCAGGAAAGATACATATGTGGTTAGAAAAAATATTGGGTGAACAAGTGGATTTTAAACCTGAACTTTTTTTACTAGGTATTATGCATGAAAAGACTAGTAAGCAGAAATTATATTTAATCTTACACATAACTACAGCAGCGAGAATAATTTTTGCACAATACTGGAAGAATGAAGGACTGCCATCAGAGGAAGAAATAATCAGGAAAATATTGGAATGTGCAGAGATGGGCAGATTAACTATGAGGTTGAAAGATAAAGAAGATACAGACTACTATCAAATTTGGGACCTATTTTATTCTTGGCTAGAGGAAAGAATGAAGGATTAGGACTTGAACATGTATTAGCGTAGCAAACTCCAGACAACTTGTTGATTGGAAAAATTAACATATGTTGATGAAAAAAAAAACAATAGGAAAGCACTCCAGAGGGTCATTACCATCACCCAGAGGATTATTGGCTGCCCTTGCCTCCCCCCCCATTCCAGACAAATTGTACTATTCCCACTGTCTTAGGAAAGCTCAAAACATTCTTAAAGACGCATCATTCTTTTTTTGAACTATTGCCATCTGGCAGACGGTACAGGATAATAAAAACAAAGAAAAATAGGCTGAAAAATAGTTTTTATCCCAGACCTGTAACCATATTAAATACTACTGTATAATACAACATTGAAGTACAATATTAGGGGCAGCGCAATGGTGAATAGAATGTGAAGGATGTGTGTATATAATGTATGTTTTTTTTTAACTTGTGCTTTTTAACTTGTGTGTAGTGTGCACTATGGATAGCACTTAATTTCATTGTGAGATACACAATGACAATAAAGATATTCTATTGTATTCTATTGTTTCAATTGATTTGATTATGCAAATGGGTACTTCTAATAAGTAGAACTATAGTAGAAGGAGAGTACGTTGAGGTAAGAACTGAGCAGTTATGCCCAACTTTTCAAGAATGTTAGTGATCCAAACATGAATTGGTGCACCAGCACAATCCTTTCCCGTTGCCTTTTGCTTTTTTAGAAACAACTATATTAGAAGTACCATAAAAAGACATTTAATGGACTTTAATTATTGTCATATAAATAGTAATGTCCAAGGGCTCCAAGATCATCGAGACAGTTTATAGTTTGTCAAGATATTCGGAAAATTGGGAGCTTCCGGTACGAGGCGACGGCGATGGCGGCTACTTTGTAGCCGTCCAGCTGGGAAGGTGTCAGAACCGCGGAGCGCAGCATGTATCAGCTGGCCCGCGGCTCGGAATTCCCTTCCCAGGCAAAGGGAAGGGACAGAGAACGCAGGAGTAGAGGTAGAACCCCTGTACTCCCTCTGGATTTTTTCCTAGAGGGGGTGAATGGAGTGTTCCCTTGGAGCTCCTGCTGATCTCCGCCTCCCAGCTGTTTTTGCTTCCTAGGAAGCAAAAGAAACCGCCGCTTCTATCTCCGTGCCTATAGTGTATTGGTGAGTAGTTTTTTTACTATAACGGACAGAGTGGTTTAAAGGATTTTTTTATATAGTTTAGGTTTTTAATTTCTTTTTATTTAGTTTTGATTATTTCTCCTTTGTTCTTTTTATTAGTTTGGACAAAGGAATTAAGATGGCGCTTTGAAAGTGTCGGAGTTTTTTTTTCCTTGCCTTTTGTTCTATTTTT